ATAATGAAGACTCTCACGCACATTCTCGGGAAGCTTTTCAACAAACTGAAGTTATCACAAAGCATCCTCATCCTGAGCGAGATGAAATATGTAAGACGTTTCATTCATGGCGCTTGTGTATTCTTTGAATAGAAAAACATGGGTTCAACACACTCAAAGAAAAATAACTTTTCTTGTCATGGTCAATTATTTTTCTTTATTTTACGCAGCTGGAAAACGAATGAATGACTGAATGTCTCTTTCTTCTCCTGCACTGAAAGATTCATCGTCACATGAATTACTTTGCCTTGTCAAAAGCAGGCTTTGCGCCACAACAATGAAACAGTGACCTCCTGCATTGTGCAACCCCGTTCTGTGCACCTCGACATGGTACAAAGTTGCATGTTATGTACAAATTGACATTCATTCATTCTAGCTCACGAGGGTACAAATTTACATACAAATTGAAAATACAAACGAGGTTGCAACATGCGATCTGCCCATTCAACATGTTCAAACAGAAGCTTAATTTTATTTTATTTTTAAATTTAGGTCACATCTCCACTCCAAAACACTCTATGGCTAACAAACACTCTATGGCACTCTCTCACCTTCCCTCCATCCTTCATGTAGGCTTCCAATTGAGAACACAGCCATCAGGCCAAGATCAACAAGTGTCATCCTAAATCAAAAAGCCTCCACTTGTCAGTATAATCAAGTGTGAGAACAGCGTGTGCACAAGAGTGTTGACTGTTTGACTCAAGCGCCAATGATTCATTAGCACCACTCTAGCATAGAAAGTGTGGAAACCAGCCACCGCCAAGGAATGAGGACACACACAACTTGGTACACATGCACGGTGACAAGGTATTTTATACATGCAGCTGAAAATAGAAACTGGGTGGGTTGATGAGTATTGCGCCATGGCACTCTGTGATGCGCTGGGTGTGTTGTATCATGCAGATAGTTCAAAAGCATCTTTTTTCCAATGTTTTATGCTTTTTCATGCACCACTGCTTTTCGCCTGTTTCTTCTGTTTTTGGGGGGTTTTAACCAATTGTGACATATATTACAGTTTGATGTCAAGTTCGAATAAGTGCGACCTGAGCAACCAAACTGCAGTCACCTCTCATACATCCATCCATCCATTTTCTGATCCGCTTTATCCTCTCAAGGGTCACGGGGGTGCTGGAGCCTATCCCAGCTGTGTTCGGCCAACCTGAACCGGTTGCCAGCCAATCGCAGGGCAGACAGAGACGAACAACCATCCACGCTCACTCTCACACCTCAGGACAATTTAGAGCGTTCAATCAGCCATGCATGTTTTTGGAATGCGGGAGGAAACCGGAGTACCCGGAGGCAACCCACGCAGGCACGGGGAGAACATGCAAACTCCACACAGGGAGGCCGGAGCTGGGATCAAACCCACGTCCTCTGCACCGTGAGGTTGACGTGCTAACCACTCGACCAACGGGCCGCCCACTTCGGATACATATCAAATTTATATTCGCATACGAAAGAGGCCTGGGTCAATTTTTTTTTTTTTTTTTTAATCTTAATTGTACTTATTGAGATGTTTTTATTGAAATGAAAAAAAAAATCTGATACTTGACACATTGAGAGAAAAAAATCAAATCTGCTCTGTAGTTTGAACATAGCTAGCTGCTAAAAGCAGTGGCACATGTCTGAAAAAAATGTGGAGCATGGGAAAAAAACCCACATTGAACTGAAAAACATTGAACTGAAACAAGCAAGGGAACGAAATATTTAGAGACGGCTGAACAGGACAAAGGAGGAAGTAAAACAGCAGAACACGCTCAATCAGCATAAACACAGGGAAATGCCAACCAGAAGTTGACTATAATTCAACAAGCGCAAAAAGGGCAATGCAAAATGTCAGTCCAGAGGAGATTAGAAGATAATATGGCTCAGTTAAAGTGGTTCTGGGTCCAAATTCTGCTCTTCACGTTACAAGTCTTACGATCAAGTGTAGATCTTTTTCTTATGACCGACTTATTTTGTATTGATTTGCATTGGCCCAAATACGGTCGTGCGGTGCTGTGGAATTGGATGGATGTGGTGAAATTAGGTCAGCTCGTAATCATGAAAGGTGGAGTTGGGACTCTCTTCGACTGGCCATCTGCATTTGCATCTCACTTCAAATCAGTGTGAATGACTCCATTTCAATTCATGCCCAGCTCAAAATCTCAGAACAAAGTCTAATCTGTCTGACCTGGTGAATCCTCCGTAGAAGATCCTCTACTAGTGACATCAGCACATCCGGTTCTTAAGTGTTTAACCCTTCCTAATCGACGCAACGACACAGCCTGGGTGGCACTTAATCACAGCTGGGGATACTGTGCAGCTGCCTCGTTGCTTGCGCTCTAGCACACTGACCTACTTCTGCTTCTGCTACTATTTGACGTCACACAACTGCAAACAATGAGCAGATATCATTAAATTGCATCTTACAGGCTTTTTCGTACTCCTTTCTGAATGTCGACCTCACAAAACAAGCAGTGAATGGAGTGCGTAAGAACATGCATTTAAAATTGCCTTTAAAGATACAGTTAAGCAATTTTTTTAACTCTATCATGCCATTCGTATCATATTTGCTACATGCATATTTATTAAGCAACTCATTCTTTATATTACAATTAAATCGTCTGTATCAAATTTGACACTGCAGGTTAAAAATATGATTTTCCCCAAATTGTCAATTCACGTATAATCTACATAATGCTTTCTAAAATGTGATACAAAAAAATATCTCATAAACAACATGATACAGCAAAAATATTTTTGTGGATTTTGTTATTAGGGTTAATAAACATCTCAGTTCCCAAAAATCCGAATTTTCTGGCTATTCTTTGATGGGTCAGGTCTTACAGAAGCTGAGAAAAAAACATTGCCCCGCTCAACACAAAGTATCAAAGAAAAAAATCAGTGACAATAATGAAAAAAACAAACAAACAACAACAACAAAAAAACCCAGTTCATTCAAATTGAAATATAAAATCATTTAAAATTACGAGGTGAGCGACGATTCACATATGATGGACAGTTTTTTAAAACTTGTTTTCCCTTACCTGGATGATGGCCGCTGGGGCACCCCTGTGGAGCAAGGCCTGGAGGTGAGGCTTTGATGGCGAGCACCTGTTGTCTGGGCCTACATCCATCAGGCATCATCAGCACTGGCTAGAGTGGGATCGGGACGTTGCTGACCTCAAGTCGTGACATGTTGATTTTGTAGGGAGAATACTTTGAAGACCTCCTCAATTCCACCGACACGCCTTCCCATGAAGAAGCAGAGACTCGGTACTCTGAGCCGGTCTGTCCTATCATTGGAGTTGCGGTCACTGAGTTGGTTAAAATGCTCCTCAGTGGAAGGGGTTGTGGATGAGGTCTACATAGAGTTCTTGAAGGCTAACGATGTTGTGGGGCTGTCCTGGTTGACATGCCTCTGCAACACTGCATGGACATCGGGGACTTCTGGATTGGCAGCCCAAGCTGGTGGTCCTCCTTGTCGTCCATGTGCTTTAAAGCAGAACTCTGATATGGTCAACTCATACAAAGTGAAGTAAATACTGGATTACAACACTCAACTGTATTTATAGAGCACTTTAAAACAGCCATCGCTGTATACAAGGTGCTGTACATGGAGCAAATATCATCTGTACAACAATAAAGCAATAAATCAGTAACAAAGACGGTAGAAAGCACCAAACAGTAAAACTAAGATCAAGCCTGAGTCATGCTGAGTCAATACAACACAGCATCCGAAATACAATTTGGAGATCGACTGGCATTCCAGAATGGACATGACAGTTTACTATTAATTCGTAGGATACAGTCAGTGTTAAGGAATACTGTATTTATTGTTATAGTCTTGTGCACTGCTTTAATGACCACCATGAGACGGACATTTTTTTCACACAATGTGAGCAAAAAGGAGCAACAGACCTGAAAGAAAGTAATGGATTTCTAGCTGAGTCACATAATGTCAACCTTACTATGACCAATGAACTACGTCTTACCTTTGGGCGGCTTTTGCTGGAGGTGGGGGGTGGGGGGTGAGGCGTGTAAGTGCCTAAACACTCTGAATGAGGCCATGTCCCATTCATTTGTCCCACCGTCTTTCGCATTTCAAATCGCCCAATCAAATGATGGCTAATGACACACATCCTTTAGGCTGGGGAAGTCCAAATCTGACTTCCAGGAAGTGATCAGAGGAAGCGACAATCGGCTGACTGGCTGGGCAGAATATTGTGAGACACTTCAAAGCTTACAGTTATTTTCGACATGAAAAGTGCCGTAATGAGGTCAAGTCAAGTCACGATCTCCGTGGTCTGACAGGGTTGGAGGTTGGAGTGTTTGCTAAAGTTCGACGTGGAACCGGTATTTCCTCAGCAAGAGCATTCAAATTTACTTTATAGTTATTTTCAAGGTTTGGTCTATTGGGACTGGTGTTTTTTTTAATTTGGAGTGGATTCCATGTAAAAAGTTTGTTTAATCACTCGTCAGACTTTGCGCGTCTGACTTTTTCAAGCTCAAATCCGTTGCAACATAATGGCAAAACTATGTCAATGCTGCAATGTAAATAATCATATAAAGCCGAGGACAAATACAATTTCCTCTCATTGTCCCTCACGGACCTCAAGTTTATAGATCATTCTAGATACCAACACGTCGAAGATCCAAGATCATGACTGTAGTTATTCTAAGCGAGTGACAGAAATAGGTCAGCTCTTGTTTATGACAGAAAGAGGGCCGTTTTATTTTATTTTTTTATTATAATGAGAAACAAAGGTTGCACACTCACTAACATACATAGTTCGTACCTTCTAAATGAATGTATGTGGAAACAAGTGCCCCGTCGACCTGTCCTCTGCACAAATATCACGTCATTTACTGACACAAACACAATGGATATTTTCCGAATAGCTGACCACACAAACATACGTCAAAGTTCAAAATCATACTGAATTAGAGTCCCATGGCTGACAGCTAATTCAACCAACACCAATTTTTTTATGGTTTTTCTGTTGAGGAGAGAATGACTATTCAAGATCGAGTATTTGCATCTTAGATTAACCTATTATTAGAAATGTTCAGTCATTTGTTTCACAGAGTTGGATCACACCGGTTTATCTATTTTTCCTTTGAAAATTCACAAAAAAAGACAACTTGGTGCCAGCACAGTGGAACCAATCACCTGAGAAAACTATAACGATGACTTCTGATAGCTGTTAAAGTTGATATAAAAGGTGCCACTTTTCTATGACATGAAAAAGACCTCAGAATAAATAGTTTAAAAACATTGTTCATCTTTCATGGAACCTGAAACCTGTACATCTCAAATCTTTTGGAAAAAACAATTGACGTGGTCGTACCCATTCTCTTTACGTCTGGCCGTTTTCACAATTTACCATTCACCTTCAAACTCATGATAAATGGGAGTGTGCACAGTGCCTCTGATTAACCCCAAATAAAGTTCAGATGTTCGAGTGGGCTTTTCCTGACATTTGTTGCCTTTCTACCAGAGGCCTGAAGGTTTTGTGCTATCACTCACTGGTATTTGGAACTCTTCATCGTGACTAAGGCCCAGTTCTAGCTAATGAAGAACAGCCCAAAAGCATGATTGTGCCAAAACCGTGCTTCACCATACGTATGGTGTTCTTTTGGTGATGAGCAGTGTTGTGTTTGCGACAAACAACCTTTGGAATTATGGCCAAAATGTTCAACCTTGCTTTAAATTTTTGGCAAAGCATTATTGAAATTTCACAAAGGGATGTATAAAATTGTTTTATGGTCCGAGTGAAGCAAGTTGGTGGCAGCATCATTCAGTTGGAACTGGGGCCTAGGTTACAGTGGAGGGAATTACCGGTCGAAACAGTTCCAAATTGGAGTCCGTCTGCGGACAAAACAATTATTTTCCGAAAAAGAAAAAAAAAATGTCAGGAAAAGCCGCCGAAAATTAATTAACTTTTGGTGTCTTGATCAGAGCCACTTAAAATTGTGCAAGTGTGCACTGAGTGAAAATGTGTTATACATTTTATACTCCCTATACTATAAACTCACCTGCTAGAGAGAAAAAACCTGTTCCAGTGTGAGACGGCATACAGATCCGTAACTCTGAAACATTATGAAAATGAAATGAACTATTGCTTAAAAAAACAGAACAAGCCAGCATAAATGCAATCAAGGCTTCACAATCGAGCCTTTTTAAAAAAGATTTGAACAACATTGCTCAGCTTTAGGGTTCATTCGTGTAAAACGTATTGATTTGAAATGTTTCTTTTCAAGAGTGTTTCGTCGTGTGACTTCATGCACATCCTCTACCAGCCAACTTCTCAAACACTTAGGTGATAAATATCGAGCGCTGACATTTATTTGAATCTGAGAGATCGATCAAAAATGATCACTATTTTTGGGGGGGAGGGGAGAGTCCATTAATATACATCAGTAAAATGCAGACAAAAAGCTAACAAACAAAAAAAAAAAAACAGACAGAACATGAGTATAACATTCAGACATTAACATGCGACTTGAAGTGGAGTTTTCACGTGTAGTCGACAGGGGCAGTGGTCCAAGTTGATAGGAAAAGTCAAGGTCTTAGCAGCCCGTCGACCAGCAAAGGGCAGTGAGTCAGTTACAACAATACCACTGTTGTTTTGTGAGCTACGCAGGACGGCGTCTTAAGTGATATCAAACACTGCATTTTAAGTATCTGGGATTAATCATCTGGTATGGGGCTGTTACAGTTCCCGTGGTAGATATAGATGGGTCCATCGCAGCGATAATACAAGTCAAAGACATCTCTGTAGCCGTGGTCTCTCCACCAAGTGCACAACTGTCGGTTCCAACCACAGGCCAGGGAGTAAAACAGTTCTGGGTGCTCCATACTGATCATGGTAAAGAAGTCCTGGTCCCCGAGGTGGCCCCTGATGCTGTACTTGTCAGCCAGCTTGGTCACATTTGTCGTATCCAGCAGTTGGTTGTAGAGGGCGGAGGCCCTCATTGCGCCGAGGTCCAGTAACATCACGCCACTGTTGAAGCCGGGGAGACCCTCGGGCGGAGGGTCACCCACTCTGGTTTGAGGGTTTTCCTTGCGGTACTGCCAGAATGTGTGTCTGCGTGTGAAGAGGAGATGTCAGCTGACAAATGTCCAGTGTGCTGGTAATGCAACAGTTTGTTGTCTTGTCTATGTCTTCAAACTTGGTGTTCTCATCGACAACATTTGTAAAGACGACCCCAACAGAAGAGTTCAAGTAAGAGTGTAACTGGTATGGAAATCGTTTCCCACTGCACAGGAAGCGCGATGCGATATGGACCAAATTTTATATCCCAATATAGGTAATTTCATATCCTTGCCCAACGCTTTTGGTTAAAATGAGATGGAATTAATGCCAAGTCTCAATACCTTTTCACCAGTATGAAACACATTTTATAGAGAAAACACAATGAATATAAGACAAAAATACAGTTTGTGAGAAAGTATCTTGCCAATTTAAAGAGCACCAAGTACTACCTGGAGATTTTTGGATTGTTAATGTGGCAACAGCAATAAACAAAGATTGGTTAATGGCTGTTATAAGCCGGGCAACAGCGGTGACTCATTTGTCAATTAAATTATGATTCAGCAATTTTTTGATGAGCTGTTAACTACGAATGTGTTTGTTTGACCACGTTCATAAAACCGAGCAGCAAGTCTGCTCTTCTTCCATTTGCTGAACAAACAGCCCAGTGGGTAGAAAACAGGAAGCTAGCAGGTCCAGGAGAGCTCGCGGCCCATGCCAGCTCAGCAGCCTTCAGTGTCGACATACCGCGACTGACATCGGTTAATGTGTGGGCATCCCTTTGTACATTGTACACTTTTAGAAGTCTGCTTTATTGTCAGAAAATCACAGACCAGTTATAATACCAATTTTAAGATTTCATCAAAGAGGAAAGGAATACATTTTGACTTTTCAAGAAGAAATACATTGTTTATAAGATCACTTTTGATTTAGGAGTAATACACAACACTGTTGTAAATATAGTCCACACCCATGATTTTTCTTTTGTCCTGTCCAAGATATTATATATATTTTTTTGTTACTGTTGCGATTGTCTTGCAACCAGTTCAGGGTGTGCCCCGTCGGCTGCACCAAGACGGCGGGGATAGGCTCCGGCATGCCCGCGACCCCCGTGAGGATAAGCGGATCAGATGATGGGTGGATGCACGCAAGGAATTTGTGGTGTGAAAAAAAAAATCTTTTGATTACTCAGGATAAGCAGTACAAAGAAGGGATGAATGAACATTTCTGTGGGTCATTCTCACTCAAACAAAAGCTTCAGTCATTTTTGTATCGGGACAGTTTCTAAAACACACTGAAGCAAAAATGGAAACGACTTCCCTGTAACAATGTAAATACAAAGTAAAATGTGAACTTTAAAACAAATATTTGTATTGATATCCGAGTGTATCAATATACAGTATGCTGTATTTTTATAAAGCTCACTATCACCTTCAAAACACTGCCCCTTGCTCTTCTCTTTCTTTTCAGCAACATAAACATACCTGTTTAATGTATGTCGATTGCTATAATGTGCTTTCCACGAAGGTTGTTTGCCCGTCTGACAATTAATGCCCTTTTCTCAACTGCTCCTCCCAGGTCTTGAACCTTCTGTCTCTGTCACTTTCCATTCTGCTCTTGCCCTTGCAATCTCTCTCTCTTTAACATGCATTCTGGACATACATCGATCCATTTCAATAGAAAAAGACGATTTCAGGCGAGTGTTTTGAGTGCACCATGATGAACTTGCATCTAAAAGGCACCACTGGATGCGTACTGAGTGGTCTTGTGTGTGAACAATGTGAAGTTGTTCTTATTTACTGGCTGGAGCTTATATACCGGCTTGCTCAACTGACCACGTTTCATGATAAATTAGCACGCGGCCGCCTAAAGTTCCTCGCTCTGCTGTGTTTGTAACACTTACATAAATGGGCCTCATCTCTTGGGCTTTTAAAACATGTTAAATGGAGCTGGAGTGTAAAGACATGACACCCCCCACCCCCCCGACCCACAACTCCCGCCCCCCAACACACACACACATCTATTGAACTTCTCAGTGGCAGGATGTGGTCTGAATAGCAAGAGGAAGCATTGTCCTGAATAATACTCTGTCCATTAGCACCCAATAGGAGTGGGAGCTCGCTGTTGAAAACAGGAAAGTTCTCCCGAGGAGAGGATGCACACTATGGCTCGCCAGTACATACTCAATGCTCTTGTTGGCTGTATTTCAAATCCTTTTCAACCTATACTCAATTCAATACACTACAAAGACAAGAAAATTCATGTTCAAACATTTTGAATCTGATGTCTGCAACACAAACCGACAAAGCTGGGACAACAAAAGAATGCTCAAAAAGAGCACCTGTTCGGAACATTCCAAAGTGGAATAAGTTCATTGCAAATGCACTTGCAATTGCAAAGAATATAGTGATTCCATCATCGACGGTCCATCAACTTATTCAACGTGTCATGATTGCGTACCAAAGGGGCAACGCCAAAAGCCTCAGAAAACCCTTGTGAGTTAACGGGGTTTGTCGCTACAGTACAAATGCAAGTTAAATTCTTCCAGACAAAGCCGTAGTCCACCCAGAAACGCTGCCGGCTTCTCTGGGCCCAGCCTCATCTGAGATGCTTGATGCAAAGCAGAAAAATGTGTTGTGGTCTGATGAGTCCGCATTTCAAATTGTTTTTGGGGAAATCGTGGACCTTGTGTCCACTGGGCCAAAGAGGAAGTGAAACATTTGGATTGTTATCAGTGTGCAGTTCATAATCCAGCATTTACGATGAAACCGGGTGTGTTTGTGCCTATGCCATCTTAGAAAGGGTTCTGTCAGTCGTCATCTGTACCTGGGCCCAGCCTCATCTGAGATGCTTGATGCAAAGCAGAAAAATGTGTTGTGGTCTGATGAGTCCGCATTTCAAATTGTTTTTGGGGAAATCGTGGACCTTGTGTCCACTGGGCCAAAGAGGAAGTGAAACATTTGGATTGTTATCAGTGTGCAGTTCATAATCCAGCATTTACGATGAAACCGGGTGTGTTTGTGCCTATGCCATCTGTAACTTATGTGAAGACACCATTGATGCTGAAATGTGTTGATAGGTTTTGAAGCAATGTATGCATCATTCAAAGCAACGCTATTCTTCAGGGAGGTCCCTGCTTATTGCAGCATGACAATGCAAAGCCACACTTTGCATGATGTGTTAGAACAGTGTAGTTTTGTAGTAAGGGTGCGAGTACTGGACTGGCCTGCCAATAAATCGTCTGGGAACTGCATCAATCAAAAGTTGATACATGGAAAGAGGCTCGCTCCCATTCATTTGAATGGACAGGTGAAGCGCGGGGCTAGTCGTACATTCTGACAAGCTCCGCTGTTTTTTCCAGTGGTAATTGTGTAATTAAAAATATGGTCAAAAAATGTTTTAAAACACAATATAGGCGTACCACATAATCATATACTTGTCAGCATATGACTAGAAGTGGATTTCACGCTTGTGTGCTGTCTCGGAAGGAGCAGTTGCGTGTGTCCCTCCCCCTCTCCGCAAGATGTTTGGCATTGGCTGGATTTAGCTGCCGATCAATGCCAAACTTGAAAGGAGCAAAGGGTAGTTATGTAATGCATTTTGTATGGCATTGCTGATGCGGATCGAATGCAGGCAAAAATGTAATATCCTCAGTGACGTGGACTACGTATTGGACACTTTTTAATTTCCTTCAGAAACTACTTGCAGGAGAAGGGTTGACCTTATGGGACTTGGTTATCAAGTGTGGGCCAAATAGCTGTTTTTCTGTGTTAAATCCCTTCCATTTAAGTCAAGTCACAACAGGACGGCATATGATTCCAGCTCTCTGCTACAGATACACATCTACGACAAAAAAATGCACCATTCAATAGCTGTGCAAAGAAATGCTCTTCACATATTTTGCCGCAGACGTTTAATAATTGTTATCCTTTAAAAACCTCGAGACCAAATTTAAATAGTCCATTGATACGATGCTCAAAACCTGGAGGAAATGAGCAGGCCATGTGTTTGCTCCAGCAAGCAGCTATAATAGTAACTTTCCAGGTGACCTTACCTCACATCGTCATACCATACTTCCCAGACACTAACTTGCACACGCACAAGCGCACCGTCACAGTGATGTCCATTTTGATGGCCGGTGTGGTTGGGGGAAACAAAGCGATGATGTTGGAGGGGAGTGGGAAAATAGGAGAGGAGTAAAAAGCTTGTAAATTGAAAAGCCTTGGCACACAAATAAGCACAAGCACACGTTAACATTTTATCATTGGGGAAGACGATGTCTTGGAACGTTTTTTTTTAACTTCCTTGATCATAAAGTCGGTGTCTAGGTGGATTGAATTTGAAAATAAGTTCAAAAAATGTTCAACTAAATGCACATAACCCGAGTCTTGACGACTAATTCGTGCTTTCAGTCATGAGTCAGCATTTAATTCTTTCATGTGAGCAATAGGAGGGAGATTTCCATTGACAGAAATGCAAACAAACCGAAACATACAAAACATATGAATAGATGGACACTTTTTTTTCCATACAGTTGATGCAGCAGGAGAAAATTTGTAATCCTTGATTGTGGCTTGTCAGGTTAGAGCAGTGAGCAGATTGTTAATTTACTCCAGAAAGGAAACAAAGAGACAGAGGGCAAACATGTGAGCAAAGGCTTTTGTTGCCACACTGTGATTCACACAGTGTGGCAACAAAAGCCTTTGCTGATTAGAAGCGTCTCTGTGCCAACTTCTCAGTAATCTCCCGAGAATAAAAGAGCAGACCGGCATCACGCCAGCAGCACAGTTGGCGTTGATGAGCAAACACCTGAAGAACGCCCCCCACCCAAAAAAACAAACAAAAAAAAAAACAAAACAAAACTGACAAACCCTCTTTTGTCAGCAGATACACTAATTTGGAAAAATGTAGTTTCAGAAAACCTCACTCCTACTTATGCAGCTAGTAAATAAATAAAATACTCACGTCATAGGCTGACTGATAAGAACTAATAAATACAATCTCAGGTCTCAAAACAATATATGTTGAATGAGCAAACGTTTGCACGTTACTGGATCATTTTATGGATAAAAACGACAAGCTCTGTTGAAAGGCTGCAAGCTAGAAAATTATGGTCCACAAAACCTGATTGACGCCCCTTGAGGCGAAAAAACATCACATTTTGGACCGGTTGAAGGGGAGAAATGAGAGGAGCCGTGTGTGTGTGTGTGTGTGTGTGCGTGTGCGTGTGCGTGTGCGTGTGTGTGTGTGTGTGTGTGTTTTAAATGAAACGCTTAAGCTCATGGAGGAAGCAACCAACCTCAATTAAATTCTTCCTCCAGCAAACCTTGCACCCAAGCTAATATTAAATAAATGATACTTTCTTAATTCAACGTTATCCGTGGCCAAGTTAGCACATCCGCCTCAAGTTTCTGAGGTTGGGGGACCTACGGTAAATTGTCCTAAATGGTAAATGGGCGTTTGTTTGTCTTTATGAGCCCCAAGAATAACTAGCCACCAGTCTAGGATGCACCCAGCCTCTCATACCTGTGAAGCATTATAAAGCTAGCTCGATGGCTCTATGGTGGCATCATACCAACAGCACTACGTGGACGATCACGAAAATGTTCATGAGATAACGTGTGCTACCTGTACACCGGCTGCATCTCCCTGACGATGCCGAGTACCGCTCCTGGCGGGAAGCGGTCAAATTCCTGGAAGAGGTCCCTGATATTGGTCCTGTACTTCAGATCGATGTCAAGCTGCACAATGCGTGTCAAATCTGAAAGAAGGAAAAAATAATCGCAATGTCTATGACCTGGGAGCAGCTGTGCAAACAAGCAAATCATTCAGGAAATAAGAGCCAATGTGGGGGAGTTAAAAACGTTACATAAAAAGAGTCATCAGAACTTTTAACCGAGGAGCCCAAAGAGGAAATGCCATGAAAATGTGCAAATCAATAAAAGGTCAGGTAGGCATCTAAAAACCTCAAAGTGCATATCGACCGGTTTCAAGCATAGAGGTGCTGAGTGATGAACACAGTAGCTTGTTTGGGAAGAAAAGTGTATCCAGGATATTCAGGTTTCATCTAGCCATTGTTTCAACTTCCTGTTTTTTTTTTTTTTTTGAGTTGGCATGGTAACAAAACGGGAATTAGTCAGTAATTGTGTCATCGACAGATCCGAATTATTGTACTGATAAAAATCCCAATTAGGGCATGTGGTTTTAGGAACATCATCCATTTTGCGTATGATGGATCAAACCTATTTAAAACTTATGTGACCTTGTGCTTGTAGCTCATCGTCATCGCAATAACTGCATGTGCAATTTGACTTTATCGCAAAGATGTGCAGTAAATTAAAATTGGAACTCTATGCCTTTATCTTACTTTGACCAATGAGATGCAACCTTAAATGCACAGCACCAGTCAATCAGAGAAAAGTATCCAGGGACATGAATAACATTCAGCCTGCTTACGTGATTTGAAATGATTTGTTCCTCTTTACCTAACTCGCGAGTCATTAAGGCGACCCATTTTGAAGATGTGGATGACCGAGGAGCCCAGAAGAATCCTTTCAGGAGAAGAATTACCGTAATTTCTGGACTATAGACCGCACCTGATTATAAGCCGCACCACTACATTTTTAAAGGAAAAAAATATTTTGTACACACATAAGCCGCACCTGTGTATAAACCGCAGGTGCCCATATTGTAACATGAGATTTTTACAAAGAAAGACGGTACACAGGCAGCCGTTAGAAAAGTATTTATATAAGCCGCTTCATGAAATAAGCCGCAGAGTTGAAAGCGTGTGACAAAAGTCGCGGCTTATAGTCCGGAAATTACGGTACTTGGAAGTTTGGATTTCAAATATCATCTTCATAACTTTTCTGACATAGCTCAAATGTGCAAGGCGAAACACCGAAAAAGGGCTGCGCACCAAGAGCAACAACCTGTTTTTCTATACTCTCCAAACAAGGAAGCTAGCTACACATCACAATGCCATTGTGCGCTCTTTGTTATAACACTGTGATGAGGGGTAGCATTGATGTTGGACTTGGAACAAAAGGGTGAAAGTAGGGCTAAATTGTATTATTTTTTTTTTCTTTCAAGAGTTTTACGTGGCATCAGTCTTACAGATGGAACAATCCATGTTGACGTCGCGCTAAAAATAACCACGAATTGGCCTGGCATCCACTTATGCACTGCAGCTGTCAGCCATTATAACACAGCGTGTAACAGTTACAAACTGAGTCAGGTTCTAAATTGTATTGCGAGGATAAGTGGTTTAGAGAATCAATGAATGAATGCATTAATGAATTTAGATTTTTTTTTTTTTTTTTTTTTTGTCGCATTGATTGAATGTACGTATTTTTTTCCAGCAGTACAGGTGGAGCCTGCTGGTAATTTTCAGAAGATATGGTGTATATTTTACAGCAACAACAACAAAAAAACAAAAACAAAAAAACAAAACAAAAAAAAACACAGCTACAACTGGATTTTCTTTTGGGTCATTTTTGTTCAACCAAACATATCTATCAATCATTACTCAAAGTCTCACGAACAATAAACTCTAGACTTGTGTGATTTTTTTTTTTTTTTAAGAAATACCATGAAACAAAATAGAATAAAGACAAATGAGTGTTTGCTTTTCTTGTGTTGTAACGCTTTCTGTGGGAACGTTGATGTTTTATTGGATGAATAACGTAATTAAAGAAGAACGGAGTGCGCTAAAGGCTCTGGTCAGAGGAGATAGCACTTTGCAGTAACACCTAAATTGGCCACAAAAAAAAGGCACACTGTGATCTAAGCAGACTTTTTTTTCCAAGAAGAATGTGGGTCAATCTCATTAGGTCCTAATATCCCCCCTGATGTGAGCACTTAAAGCCTATTTACTGAGGGTCATTGTTTTCTGTTTTTGCCAATCCTGAATAGATGCCATTTTCCAGAATCGCAACATCACATGCAGTCACTTTCATACTTGTATCCTTATTTGGATTTATGGCACGTCAAGGATATTTTTCACTGAAATCATCATGGGCCCAATTAAAAAAAAAAAAAAAAAAAATCCAAAGCTCATTTTTTTTGTCTTCATTCACATGACATTACAATATGCCTCATTTTACGAGGTTTTTTTTTTTTCAAGATTTTGATACGAAGCTCTGCGCTCCGATTTGCCTACATATTCCAAAACCATGCACGATGGGTTAAATGAACACTTTAAATTGTCCGTACGTGTGACTATGAGTGTGAATGGTTCTTCGGCTATGTGTGCCCTGCGATTGGCTGGCGACCAGTTCAAGGGTATACCTCGCCTGCTGCCCCAAGACAGCTGGAATTGGGTCCAGCAGTTTGGATATTGGATGGATGAATATGCAGTGATTACTCAATTCCACTTCTTTAATCCCCATGCATGATTTATTTGCCTTTTTTTTTTTTTTTTTTTGCCAGAGTTGACTCTTTCTAGTGCCATCTGTTGTTTGGGAGGGCATCATTTTGTGCAGCTCGATTTTAAAAGTAGGGATTTTTTATTTTGTTATTTTAAAGAGGGGAGTGCATGTGGACAGTCTAACACTATCAACATCAATTTTAAAACGCATTACACTTGCTGCCCTGCACGGGCTAGACCAGTGGTATCAAACATATGGCCCGCGGGCCGGAACCGGCCCCCAAGGAGGTTCGATCCGGCCCGCGGGATCATTTAAAAGTGAAAAGAAATGCATTAAAGACACAGAATGAATATTTTAAATAAAATGCAATTCGTCAATTATCCGCTAGGGGGGCACACTGTTTTGATCACAGTAGAAGACAACATTGTTTTGATTGGGGAAGAAAACAGCAGCCTCAGTCTGTCACCGAGATAGACCCAACGCAGCAAATGATATGAAAGCGCCAATCAATGTTTCTTGAGACCAAAACAAAGGAAAGAGATGATAATTTGGTGATTCATAGCACAGTATGGTATTATGTTAATGGTTCGGCCCACTTGACATCTACCGAGTCCGTATGTGGCCCACAATGTGAAATGAGTTTGACACCCCTGGTCTAGACATAACAGTAACGCAAACATAATAATTGATGTTAGCCCAACAACGCTAACTCTAGCCACACGCCCGCTAGCAGTCCATTTGGGTTATGTGGAAAGTTTTAGGCTTCTGATTAAAGTTGTCACAAGCCGATTGTTGAGTAACATTAAATGTGGAAGATATTTTAAGAGGACTTGTTTTAACTTGAGTGTGGTGAGTGATGCCAAATTATGGATTGGGACTCAGACAGTGGTGCAAAAAAAAAAAAAAAAAATCATGGGAACACCTGATGCTTGTCGTCATGTTTTAGTCATCAAACAGGCATGTTTGTCTTGTCACCATCACCTTAAAAAAAAAAAAAAAAAAAAAAAAAGTTTGTTCACAATATCAGTCAATCAAGCTCAGTATGAACCAAACTCATGATAAAGGGGAGTCAGCACTCAAGAGCCAGCATTTAAAGTATTTCTGTCTGAACCAAATAAAGTTCAGATGCTCTTAGCACGCGTTTCCATCGTCACATCTTACTGCACAAGCCTTGCTTGGTCCGCACAGGGTTTCCAGAGTTTTTGAGAGGATTCAAACTGTTCAAAAGCATCAATCGATAGATAAATAAATTAAAAAAAAAAAAAAAAGAAATCGCCCAAAAACGTGGGGAAAACTGTGCTGTGGTCCGGTGAAACCAAGGTTGAAAAGTATATACACGAGTACACCACCACAATCCTGCTCATCACGAAAAAAAAAAAATCCATTATTTGCGGTGAACGATGTTGGTGGCAGCATCATGCTTTAGGGCTGTTTTTCTTCAGCTGGAACTGGAACAAATGGAACATTACTTGAGAGAAGAGCGGTGTGGGCTGCTGAATGGGGCATCTACTTTAGTAGTCAATAGTTGTTGTTTTTTTTTTTTTTTTTGCCACTAATGTATTAGTTATTGGGGAGTTGAAAATGTTCCATGTTCTTGTTTTGTTTTCGACAATTTTACAATGATAGGGGCCACTTATCATGTCGCTACGAGTAGTAAGTAGCACGCAGGGCTGTCGTCCAGACTCGACACACTCCTGACTTGACTCCGCCATTGGACTCAACACCTTGTTGTGAGGATTAATTAACGATGCTTTATATTCATTTAATTACAAGCATTTCCTTTGCTACCAACCTATCCTAATATAATCTAATCGTGTTGTTTCATTGAGCTTCACAGCGTGACCACTAATTGAATGCTGGCGGGGACCAATTCACATGACTTGCATCAACTTTGGTCTCAAACATGTTGATTGGATCACAGACCCGACAAACACATTTAAGAATGTTTAGTGATAAGAAGTTTGACGTCAAACCGACCGGCAAGGTCAGTGATGCCAATGGGATCTTGTCCCAAAAGAGCAAATTATCATAAAATGGAAAATAAAGAACCCGGCTGACTGCAACAAGTCCTTGCATGTTGATATCTCCAGAGGGGATGCATGGAGAACAAAAACTGTTTCCCTGCAACCTGGTAATGAATCATGACAAATTTCCATTGGCTAAATTACACTCATGGCAGCTAACAATAGCTTTGAGACTGATATTTTCAGATATTTTCAAGTTTTAGCAATCTGTAACTGTCACCGTTTCTCTGAAAGTCATACACGAGTCACAACATTATGGCGTCGCCAATGAACAAAGTCTGCCTGATGCAAATTGACGGATTTTCTATGGGATTCAGAGTGTCATTTGCAAGGGTGCAACAATGCGCGAGTCTTTGTGTGGGCATCAATTTCCCTTTGTGTTTCTCATTATCAGTCCATGTGTTTTGTGCCGACTGTGACGACAAACAGTTGCCCCCATGATCAATATCAATTTTATGAGTGCTAGGTTACGCATCAACTAGCACCTGTAACACAATCAGAATTTCTTTTACGACGGATGTTAAACAGCAGTAACACGTTTAACCCATCCGTAGCAAACCTTATACCAGGGGTGTCCAAAGTCGGTCCTCAAGGGCCGCTGTCCTGCCTGTTTTCCAGCTCTCCCAGGAGCAACACACCTGATTCAAATAATCAGGATCATTCTAATGCCGCGTCACAGCTGGCTGATGAGCTGATCATCTGAATCAGGTGGGTTGCAGCCGAGACGGCTGGAAAACAGGCAGGACAGGACGTTGGCCCTCCAGGCCCAGAGCTGGACATGCCTGCCTTATACCGTACTGGCCCGAATATAAGACGGTGTTTTTTGCATTGAAATAAGACTGAAAAAGTGGGGGTCGTCTTATATTCGGGGTCAAGACATTATACCCATTCACGACGCTAGATGGCGCCAGATACCATTGAAGTGAATGCTGAACTTGACTCCCCAGGCCAAAGCGAACCCCTGTCACGAAGAAGAAAAAATAAAAATAGCGGTAGCACGAAGAAGAAAAATAAAAAAATAGTGGTAAGAAAGAAAAGAGAAGAAAATAATAGAAGAGATAACAGAAAATGGAGAAACGTAGCGACAATCTGGAGAAAAGTGGGTCGAAGATCGGCCAGGTTAACTGGCAGCTGAGGAGAAGTTATGATGTCATTTACATTTCAAAAACCAGAAGCCATTCATTTACAAATGTGATTGCACTTTAGTTTACATATTTAAATGTTCAGATATTAAGATTTGAATGAGGCAAAATAACATGCTTTTTCTCTCACATATATTGTTAGAATCATTTGTTTCAGATGTACTGTAATTATTTTCTGTATAAAAATTAATTTGGTGTTCAAAAAGTATTTTTTCAAACTTGCGTCTTGAAAAAGACGGGGTCGTCTTATAATCAGGGCCGTCTTATATTCGGGCCAATACGTTATTTCACATTTCAATGAAATAACAACACCGCAGCTGTACGATCTCATTGGTTCAAGTAGAACACAGTTCATTTTTTAGCGATGCAATCTATGGTAACACAAATTAGCAAAAGTGCCCAATTTTGCTTCATTCATCTTTGACCTCAACCGTGTTTGAAAAATGTATCATGTCATAAAATAGTCTGCTTTTGAAAGAGAGTCTATTTGAAAACTTGCATAAACATCAAGCGCAAAAACATTTTGGTGATTCAAAAAAAGACATTCACAAGGTAATGTGGATGCCCTGTTGCCATCCGGTGATTAATTGACATTTATTTCCAAAAGGCGCCGGTAAATGGCAGCAATCAACCAACACATGTGCAGGCTGTAACATGGGCAAAAGACCAAACCCTTCCTTCTTGACTCCCCAGGGACCTCAGGGCACGTGCCCTGCAGCTACTGCACCTGCCTTACAAGGAGGAGTGCCTAGCCCACTCAAAACAACACAAATAAACAAATATATTAAATTCTAAAATAATATGAAAGAAATTCACATTCATTACCATCAATTATTACGAGCGAGCAACCAGTAATTCGGCAGTCGGTGTCATTAACAGTCTCAATTCTAATATTTTTTTTCTTCAAATGAACAAGTTACGATTGTTTTACTCAAGAGCAAAACTTGCACATAACAGTAACGTTAACACTCATGTTAGTAATGCTCATGTTGCACAAGAGTGGTGTGATTCAGGACCAGCAAGGCCTTCTCAGCGGGCATAAATGTCAGATTTCAGCATCTTTTTGTTGCCATGACAATCTAATCTACCCAGGCCTTCTGATTTAGGAGTACTGTCTGATTGAACTGGACCAGCAATGGGATGGCCAACATTAACAATGACAACATTAACAACAGCACTTGTTCTCATTGGTCCCGGGATCCCAAATGCACAGACCATTAGTGCCCAAGAAGAGTTTTGTTGGGTACGCTGATACCAGAGTACCAGTAAAATGATTCTGAATTTCATTTCGTAAAATATTCCTCAACCATTTTCTTTTGTGCAAAAAGTGGCTGGGTATTGCACTTACTTTGAGGCAAGATGCGGTGCATGGCGACAGAGAGGAAGAAGATGGCATCGCTGAAATAAGACCAAGAGCCAGCGCTGAAGTGCTTCTGCAAGGCTTCCACAATCGGGAACAGCCTGTGAGTGAAGGTGTCCACATCATGGAACAACACCTGTGTGGAAAGTAACACAGTGCAACCTAGGTCAAAGTAAAAACTACAAATGTTATTTCTGCATTATAATGAATATTCAAATAGAAGAATTAACTAAATAGCCAAGACCAGAGCAAATTAGCACAGGGAACATATCTAAACTGTCACATTTCGAAATCTCACAAGGGAACTAAGACCAAGTTGTCCAAACGTTGTAATCGTCTCAATGTGCACGCCCTTTTTATCGGCTGCTGTTTACTTAAATCTATGAAGTATTTATTGAAACAAAATGTTCAAAACATCAACATGTGCGTCAATTCCAGCACTTCAAAATATCGGAGTGCAAAGAGTTATCACAAGCTATAGAAAAGAGCGGAGATTGACAGGAGGATTGATGAAGCTTCTTTCATGTATCTCGACAGAGAACCTGTAGACCACTTGCGGTACTCGTACCACACTGAGAATCACTTTTCAATCAAGAAGTTGTCTGCAACTAGTCACCTGAAGTGTGTAAATGGGGTCTATCTGGTACCAAGTGCCAGAAAGTAGACTTTTAACATTTCTCCTGCCCAAGAATATTGATTGGTGGCTATTTTCAAATTGTTTTCACCAAATCTTTAGTGGACGGGAGTGATGCACCATGTGTTTTTGTTTATTTTCTCTCAAAGTGGAAAATTGAGCAAGAACGTGTCCTTGCTTTTTGCCTTGCAACACACGTTTGGAATCCCTCCCAGAACACGTATGGTGTTATCTAGCCAACACTGCCCCCTAGTGCAATAATTGCCATAAACTCCAAAGCGCTTGAAATAAAATAAATATTGGAACGAAGATAAACAATGGTTCATCAATTAAAAGGGGGGAAAAAAGTACACCATTTAGGTTTTTCATGTTTGTGGAATTAAAACAGTGTAATATAAAAAGTAATTAAAACATAAATACAGTATATAAAACAAAAAATGATTGATGTACGTTTTTTTAAATATTTGATGATACGCTGAGACATAAAAGTGAACTAAGAAGAGTAGTGTTTCTGGGTGCGTCGTGGACAGATAGTCAAAAAATTATGGTCTGACTGACTTAAGACGGTACTAACATGAGGTTATGAACAGCATGAAGAACAAGTTTGTGCAGTGGTGTAAGAATTCTTTAACGCACAGCGCAGTAAGATGCGGGACATTCTCAAACGCTTAATGTGCGTGAAAAAAAACCGCTTAACGTGGCTTGATATTTGAAAACCACGACCAATCGCCACCAACATTCCTATGCCCACTTCAACGTCTGAAAATATCAAAGCAATCGTCACAATATTTTGAATTTTATGGGTATTCAGCTTTTTCCTCTCCATACACGTTCACCATAGAGAAGCTTAATGTGGCTTATTGTTGGAAAACTACAACATATTGCCACCAAAGTTTATGGCGAGTCTCGACTTATGCCCAAATCAATCTCTGAAAATATCTAAACAACTGCCTCAATATTTCAGATTTTAGAGAGGTACAGTAGTCCTAATGGGAGAAGATACAGAAAAATGTATGGATTAATTGTTCAGGTGGCACAATAGGACTTATTCTAGCAATATTTCTTGACAAAACAAAGCAGCACTGGAAAACTTTAGTGACATGATGGTCAAATGGCATGCATTGGTCAAAGGTGAAACGGATTCTTGGCAGTGGATTAGGTCTGGCGAAGTATGCCAACAAAAGTGAGTAGCAACAATGACACAGGACAGCGTTCAAATGAAAAAAAAAATTGTTTCATTCATTTTTTGGTAGTTACTAGAAATTCACAAAGGGAGGCCAATTGGTACTAGTGGTTTTGCAGAGAAATAGAGCTGGGTGTCATCAGCACAGGAGTGTAACAAATAAAAGCTGCTGAAATCTGATGCAGTTTGCAGAGCTGTTTAAGTCCTTAGCGTTCTGTTTATTAATATCAGTACAATATTACAGAGTGCCTATTTTGCTATTATAAAACATTGCAAAAATGTTTTATTTTTTGGGCTGGAGGGGGGTGGAGGAACAAATTAATGCCATTTCCATTTATTTCAGTGAAATACGACTGATTTGAGTTACATGCAGTGTGATGGAACAAATATAATTTGTATCTCAGGGTACCAGTGTACTTGAATGCAATCTAATGCAAACATACTTTTATTTGCTATGCAATACCACATTGGATTGGGTACAACTTTATTGTCAAATGTGGTGTATGTGTAACATACAGCACAGATGAAATTTCTTCCCTCAAAACATCTCAAAATAAAAAATAAACATGGGAAGCAATGCAAATATTTGTATGCCTACCTCATACTTGAATGTTACATTTTTGAAGAATTCTTGAAGCATCTTCTCTCCCAGTACTTTACTGACCGGATCACTCACAAAATGAAGCACCAACACCTCTCCTTCCAAGAACTGTGCATACTTGACCATCGACAACATGGCCACTCTGAACTTGTCCTGGAGGTTTTGGCTTTTGTCCACTTTAGTGAACATCATGAGAACATTATAGCGTTGGACCGAAGTCTCGTTGCCATTATTTCTGGATTGAAAAGCATCGTTCTCTCCCATTTTCTTCTCCTTGGATCTAGCAAGCTCAGAGAATCTGGTATCTATGGTCAGGTCTGCATCATTTCTGTTGGTGTTGCGGCTTGCCTGAGACAGCTTGATCCTCTTGGTAGTGCTGGAGAAGTTCTGATTCTCTGAGCCAAAGTAGTAGAATGTCACCACAGCCAGGACACAGGCCAGAATCAGCAGAAACTGGAGGGATCTGAACATACTGACCCTGGCCATGATTACGTAAACTAGTCTGAGGATGCGCATGTCTGCACACTTATGTGAGGAAAAATGGAGGCAAAACTGTCACCAGGTTTTTGTCAATGTTTGAGGGGCATTTCTATTCAGTTCCTGAAAAACAAACATGCACACTTTAGTTCAGGTGCAAAGACAACACTAAAAACTAAATTCAATTAAATTCACACACTGACATGCCACATACACACGAAATGGTTAAAACAATTACAGATCTTTCTCTAAGAAAACACAATTCAATGTACATTTATTCCAGGAACTTTTCATTCATAAAACACTTCTAACTCGAATATAATTTAATTAAGAGTTCCAAATCATCAGCCTCACACTCCAAATATGTAAATCATCCCAATTACTGACTGTGACAGTGATAGAACTAACCAGAGAGAGAAACGTGAAAACTAAACCTTTATCTAAACCTTTTGCATTGTACTGGGGGAACAGAGTGGAAGTGGCCGTAGCAAGAGAAGCAAAAAGGATCCATGTAAGAGGCTTTCAAGGAGACTCGTCTGTGCTGATTTAAGACGTGGGATCTTAAACTTACAATCTGTTTTTCTTATGAAACGTTTTCATCCACAAAATCATGCAATGACAAACTTCGAATGGGAAGCCAAAACTTGGAAGTGTCTTAATATAACTGAATACGTGACATAAAAAAGTGATCAAGATGACTAATTACAGTGATCAATAAAGGGGTCGAACTGCATGCACAGCAGAGGTAAAGTAAGATGTTTGTACGTATTCGCTTACATCTTGAAGAATTGATGCTCTCTGCAGTTTCATCTTGACAGCTTGTTTTAAGGATTCACACTGAAAAAAAAACATGCATAATAAAATGTGATGCAATTTTACCATGACATTAACAACATCGAGTTGAACTGTCTCTACGGAGCGCCACCAATCTATCAATCGATATCCTTCATTTAACCAGAAAATCACCCTGATCTGGGCAAGAAGCGAAACACAATTCAAGGCAATTAATAATACTATATCATAAAAGTAATACAAAGTAGTAGTCAACAAGCTACTGCGCTTCGCAGGGTAGCAGAACTCAACAACCCACATGTAACAGATGCAATCATTGAGAAATGTGAAGCAAATGTGTATACCTTGTTGCCATAAAAAAAAAAAAAAAAAAACCGTGTAGTCTGCCCTTGCCAGGCTACGCGACTACGACATTTCGATAGTGTACTGTACTTTGCAACAGCAGCAAGCTAGCGAGCTAGGTATCATTTCGACGCGCCCACTTTTGGCGTCATCTACGCTCTGCGTAATGTTGCGTTGAAATTCATTGGAAAAATTAAAATCAGTTCGGCAACAAATAATTCTTAAAAATAAAAATACATGGCACTTCTTTTTTATCAATTTAAAAATGTAAAAGTAAAAAGGAGGATTTTATTCGTATTACAAAAATAAAGGTACATTGAACGTAAAATATTCAAAGCAGTAAAATCTTAAAGTGTGCCCTGAAAAACGAAAAGGAAGCGTTTTATGACGTATTTGAAGTTACTAATATTAGTGAGTTTGTCCTCTTGGTCAGCAGTAACCGCTAGCTAAAAAGCCAACTTCTACTACTTAGAGAAAGTTAACATTTGCCCGGATTTGCAATCCTGTTACAATAATTACAGTATTATTACGATCTTGTTCACGGTACCTGAACGTAGCATTATTCACAGTTGCTCTGCACGCATCATCATTGTCTCGGTCTCTACACGTGATCGTGTATCATTTGTCGACTAGAACTGCATTACTTTTTGTATACGCCTAATGCTTGATTAACCCGTAAACGTTACCCCACCCGCTTTAATGTTATTCATGCATTTAGTACCGCAGGTTTGCTAGCTCGATTAAGATTCGCTGAGATGACTTCCAGCACGCACGTCATTCAGGTGACAAATGTTTCCCCGAGCACAACCTCGGAACAAATGAGGACTCTCTTCGGCTTCCTGGGAAACATAGAGGAGCTCAAACTCTTTCCACCCGAGTGAGTATCTGTGGAGAAGCGTTTCTGTTTCGATGGGTCCCCCACTAAGCACTCCAGCAGGCCTCGTTGGAAGCTGAAGCTAATGCTAATGCTAATACGTACGCGCAATTGTGTCAAATCTGAGGATGACATCGTTTATTGGACGGTACGACCTAATTTTTAATGTCCAGTATTCCCCTTTCCTTAACTTTAGTGTTTTTTTTTCTTCTGCGATTTTAATTAGTAGACTGTTTTTAAATTTTGTTTAACCATCGTCCAGGAATGCCCAACAAACACACTGGACATATCATTAGGTACACCTGCATGATCCAATAAATACAACTGCCGAGTCGAAAAGTGTCTTTAAAATAAGAATGCCACACTAGATTTATATTTTGACATAAATGTCATAATACAAGATCTCAATAATAATTGCAATCATCCCACAAATCATCAGTATCTCATTATATATAACAACAACATGCAACAGCTTAGGCCAACTGTCTTTTTTCTTGTTTAGAGTCTTTGTTCGGTGTTGTTGTAGCAATATACGTTTGTTTGCTGTTTTTATTCCATCAGGACACATTGTTTCTGCCTAATCAACTGTAAAGTCTGTTTGTTTGTCCTTGAAGGTGACTGCCTTCAGTTAAGAAGACGCCTTATCGGGTTGTCCCTGTTTGTATGCTTTGCACAACATATGTGTGTTTTCTTCCAGTGACTCTCCCTTGCCTGTGACTTCACGTGTGTGTTTTGTAAAGTTCCTTGAGTCTGATTCGGTGGGAGTCTCCCAGCACTTGACCAACACCGTCTTCGTGGACCGGGCCTTGATTGTGGTGCCGTTTGCAGAAGGTTGGTGTCCGCTTCCTGTCTCTGTCCTCTGAACGCACATCACACGATGTGCATTTGATGATTTGCAAACACAATGACAGTGACCATCGTGCGGTCTTGTTGTTTCTTTTGTGACAAATCAAATATCGCTAACGAGCAGTCTGAGGTGTTACTAATGAGTTATTTGGCAATAGGAAAATGTGAATTTGTGTCAATTTATGTCTTGCGTTCTAGCTGTAAACTTCTCTCTCTGTTATTTGTTGTGGTTTTCATAGTGGACAAGTCAATTGCAGAGAGCCCCTTCCTTGCTGGCTGAAAGTGGTCATCTACTGCCATCAGGAGATTAGAAAAAAATGGCACCAGGCTCGCAAGGCCCTCTTGTCTCTCTCTCTAAACTCTTTTTTTTCACCCTCTATTCAAGGAATATTCTCTTAGCTATAGTTATGCAAACTTATCAGCTTTATAAGAGCAGGATTTAGGCATCTCAAGTTGTTTGTAATCATCAAATCAAACGAGGGCATCCCTACAACTTCATGTGCTGAATTTGCGTAAGTGTAATATTGACCTCACAAATACAGCAATTGTAATCCAGAAATTGCACTTATTAACCCGCAGACCAAGTAATCTTTTTGCCTGAGCGTCTCCACACGTAACTCTGAAAGGGTTGAGTGCCTCTCCCATTTTAACAGTGGTGTTTCTTTTGTTATTGTGTTTTACAGTTCTTTTTCCTGGTTCAGCCAGCCCTATATACCAGGCCCTGCTGCAAATGCACCAACCGTTTTGTCCTCAGCAGCCTTATCCTGTTTCTCAAGTGTCTGTTCTGTTGTTGCTGTACATGTGTGTGTGTGTTGAGTGTATGTGTCTCTTTTATAATATGAAAATGTCAAATGGAAAAAAAAACGGACTGTTTTCAGATTGCACAACCATGGATTGAGCTTCCCCGTAAAAGCTTTCCTATTTTGAGCTGACAGGTTTTTTTTTTCCCCCCAGATTTGGGCACATGTTAATGTTTTAAATTTAAATTTTATTTTTTTCTTCAATCGTGGCTTTTGCTGGTAATAACCCAATAGGATTTTTTGTGGTTATACATACTAGATTTTGTTTAGAGTTGACAGAACCGAGCTGTGTTGTATCTTGTTGCCAAGTTGGTTATTGTTTTGTTCCTATAGTACCCTCTTTCTTCTAATAGTGGCTGCCACCTTAATCCATCCATCCATTTTCCGAACCGCTTGATCCTCACTAGGGTCGCGGGGGGTGCTGGAGCCTATCCCAGCTCTCTTCGGGCAGTAGGCGGGGGACACCCTGAATCGGTTGCCAGCCAATCGCAGGGCACACAGAGACGAACAACCATCCACGCTCACATTCACACCTAGGAACAACTTAGAGTGTTCAATCAGCCTACCATGCATGTTTTTGGAATGTGGGAGGAAACCGGAGTACCCGGAGAAAACCCACGCAGGCCCGGGGAGAACATGCAAACTCCACACAGGGAGGCCGGAGCTGGAATTGAACCCAGTACCTCTGCACTGTGAAGTCGACGTGCTAACCACTGGACTACCGGGCCGTCCACCTTAATTTACACTGTATTTATTTTAATCTGCGTGTGTCGTCCAATTTAACATAAATACCTAATTTGGAATAAAGTCTTCCTTTTTTCCTATGGTAGATGTTTTGGTGTTTGAAGGCTCAATTAATTCAGGTTAAATTTTCCAATACAGCAAGTCTCAAAAGTCATCGCACTTATACTTGTTACTTAATTTTAGGTATTATTCAGCCAGATGTGAGGCCATCATTGTTTAGCATCTTAGTTTTTGTAAGCACTGCAAAATAACTCTGCGCAAAGAAATTTTTCTGTTCCTTACTGCAGTTGAGCACCCGTTTGAGAAGCTTTGTTGCCGTCACACTTTTCCAATGTGTAGTGCAATTTCATGTCTGGCAAAGCAGGAGCTTTTCTGGAAAAAAACATGCAGTAGAAGGCCTGCATCTGTGCTAGCACCACTGAAGAAAAAAAACTTAAAACTTGGAAGTCACCCAGCATCACAAAACTGATGTAGTTTGACGTTGAGTTTCCTCAGTAACTATCAATCACTGAGGCAATGTAGAACAAAGTACTGTATGTATTATTTTTGTCTAAAATGTTGTGACAAATTATTTGTGAAAGAAAAAAAACCACAATCATCAAGGAAAATAAACACCCATATGACTCTTACACCCGAGTGAGTGCACAACGCACTGCGTCCCTGGCCACTATTTGAGGAATTAGGGTATTATTGTATTTTTTTTTTTCAATTTTATTTTCAAACAAAGTAACCAGACGCAAAAGCCCAGAAAAGGTAAATCTGAATGAGCCTTTCCTGTTTGTGTCTTGGCAAGCGCTGTTGAAATGTTCCCCTGTTGACACCCAAATCACAAACTTTGTTTTCTGTATCTCAATGTTTCTGTGTGCTTTGTAGCGAAGCAGCCGGCGCGAGTCGCTTGTTCATAAAACATCTAATGAAAGTTGAGAGCACATCCCACGGGACAGCCGGCTGTGCTTGTTTGGTTCATGACTTAGAAAACAAGTACAGGTGATAAAATCTTGGCAGTGTTGAACACAGTGTGTAATTGTGACTATTCAACTCCTATCTGCTAATCCTACAAATCATATTGACAAAAGAGCAATAAATCAGGGATTAAGATTTACAGACAAGACAACATGTGCATTTGCATTGGTCTCGGCTATAGAGCAGTCAAACTGTGGTGGCTTGTCTGCAAGTCTTGTCTTGTGGAAGTTGTGCACTGTTCCTGGTTTGCCCCGTGCTGAAACCGCCTCTTTCTCCAGGAGTCATTCCTGATGAATCGAAAGCTATGTCGCTGCTGGCTCCGGCCAACGCCGTGGCGGGAATGATGCCCGGGGCGGGCCTTCTGCCAACACCCAATCCTCTGGCTTCTGTGAGTTCCCGCAAATGCATCTAGCCAGCTTCTGCTTAACATTTCAAAATGACCAAATGTCACATTCCAGATGGGAGGCTCGCCGTTTGGTAGTCTCGGCACGCCCAACTTGGAGCAAATGGCTGCAATGGGAATAGCAGGACCGAACATGAACCCTCAGGTCAAGTAACAATTGTCATTCATCTGTGAACAATAACAGTCTGTCTTATTGATTGATTGAACAGATAAACACAACATGAAAGATTGTTTTGTAAGACATTTGTCAAGTCTGTGTGCAAATAGTTTTTTTCGAGATTCTTTGAGAATTGTGGTAGTAAAGATATAGGCCTGTAATTTGTATGTAAGTGTTTGTCTCCACTCTGGTAAATCGGAATAACTTTTACTGTTTTTATTTTTGACGGGAAAACTGTTTTGAGAAATATGTTGAATATATTTGCGAGAGGTTTCACAATATATTAGCATACTTTTTATTAATGCCATATCAATATTAAAACAGTCAGTGGACTTTTTAATTTGTGTGTTTTAACAATATTTAATATTTCTATATAATTTACAGCACTAAGGAACATGTTCTCAGTGTATTAATCTGTCCCGATGTTGTCGATTTTAGGCCCTTTCTGCAGACTTTCTGAAGCTCATGCAGTCCATGGATCAAAAGTAAGAACCTGCATAGTCCAGTAGGCTGTGGTTTGTTTGTTTTTTGTTTTTTGTTTTTTGTTTTTTGTTTTTTGTTTTTTGTTTTTTGTTTTTTGTTTTTTGTTTTTTGTTTTTTGTTTTTTGTTTTTTGTTTTTTGTTTTTTGTTTTTTGTTTTTTGTTTTTTGTTTTTTGTTTTTTGTTTTTTGTTTTTTGTTTTTTGTTTTTTGTTTTTTGTTTTTTGTTTTTTGTTTTTTGTTTTTTGTTTTTTGTTTTTTGTTTTTTGTTTTTTGTTTTTTGTTTTTTTTTTGGGGGGGGGGGGGGAAATATTAAAACTACTGTAATTGTGGGCATTGCAGGTTGAATCCACTTGCAGGTGGGCTGAACCTAAATCCTGGCTTGAAGAACGACAGCTCCAACAAGGAAATTGAAGAGGCCATGAAGCGTGTTCGAGAGGCGCAGTCCCTCATTTCTGCCGCCATTGAACCTGGGAGTGGGTTTTCAGAACTGCAAGACTTGATTAAAAAAAAAAAAAAAAAAAAGTTACCGTATATACTGCCTATGACTATTCTGGTCTAATTTAATTTGACCTTTTACAGTCAGCCATGGACTGTAAGTCCCATTACATTGACTTTATTATTGTCTTTTTTTTTTTTTTTTTGGTAGGTAAGAAAAATGACAAACGCAAACATTCTCGGTCCCGCTCACGGTCACGCCGCAGATGCTCCAGATCTCGCTCAAAACACCGGTAAAACCACTTTTCTTTCTTGTCGTGGTAGAAAATGCTTTTCCTTCATGTGTAGTTCCACTAAAGACCCTCCACTTTGGTGTTGAAATAGAATTCAATCTGGCAAAAAAATAATTCTTGGACAAAGTTTACATGTCACTGCTAGTTAACCTCCATTACATTGGAGTAAAGGTGCATTTAAATACTAAACTATGTTAAAGTTAAGTTAAATTCATGGCAAGAGTAAAAACAAGAAACCATAACATGTGGGGACATCATCACATGCTGAGATTATTGTGCTATACAAATGACCAACATTTAGTATTCCACTTTCATGGAACAGTTGTTCAACAAAATAGCCCAGTGATCAAGAAGTAATTATCAAAATTGGCACACCCTGAACCTGGCACAAGCCGGTCGCAGGTCACAATTTAAAAAGTCAATATTAGGGTGAAAACTTGACCTGAACATTCAAATGCGTCAACTGACTGAATGACATAATTGGAAATATATTCTTATCTGGCAGGCGCTCGCAGAGCAGGTCTCGGAAGAGGTCCCGTTCGAGGAACAGGAGGAGGTCCAAGAGCCCACGGAGGAGGAGGTCCCACTCCCGAGGCAGAAGCCGCCGCAGCAGATCCAGGTCAGCGTCTCAACTAGCACCCAACCAATGCATCAGACGATTTTTGAAAAAATTGGCAGATTTGGGGGTGGATGGAGGGTAATTTTTGATTTTGGGGGGTATATTACAATATGATGACATTCAAACATCCCTCTCCCTTCCAGAATCAGCAGAAAATAGGCTGAGTATTGTTGATTGCATCAGTATAGTACTGCGTAAGACAATGAGGTTCAAACATCTCCCCCACCAAAAAATAAAAATAAAAACAACAGCAACAAATCAGCAAGTTTTACCGATTGTTCTCTGCTGTAATTCAATGCCACAGGACAGTATCATGAAACTCGTTCTAAAATTTATGTACCGGTAGTTACTGTTTTAAGCATGAAGGGAACAAAAACAAAGCAATTTAATTAATTCAAATTTTTTAAATTAGCCGATTAATCAGTTCTTGGATTTTTTTTCCCCTGCAAAATATCAGAATCAGCCTCAAAAAATCCATATCGACGGGGCCCGAGTCACAACGTAACTTTGTGCATGGCTTCTTGTGGATAAACACTGCAGTTGTCAGTTGATTTGTATAGGCTGCATTAATGGTGGTCGAAGCATCCATCCAGCCGTCCATTTTCTATAGCACTTATCATTGGGGTCACGAGTGAGTTGCAGCCTATGCGAGTTGACTTTCAGAAAGACTTGTCACGAGCCAATCGTTGAGCACATATGGACAAATGATCATTTCCAAGACAAATTTCAAGTCCTTGATGAACCTAACATGACTGATTTGGGAACGGGGGAGAGCCTTCGTGCCGGCATTGGGAGAACATGCACACAGGAAGCCCAGAGCTTAGATTTGAACCCCAAATTTTAGACCGTTGAGGCAGACGCGCCAACTACTTGTACACCGTGCTGCCCGTGGCTAAAACAGGTCCGGACATTCGTGGCTTAGTGTACTACAAGTAATCATGGAAGTCATGATGGTGGCTTTTGTGCATGTAGGGACAGGAAGGAAGAAAAGTCCAAGAAGAGGTCAAAGACGCCACCTAAGAGTTACAGCAGTGCAAGGAGGTCTCGCAGTGTCAACCGGTAAGAAGTGCAATGCATCATGGGGATTCAATGAAGTCAGTTCAATACCCTGTTACATTAAAAGGACAGCCCATAATGGCGGGCTGTTCTTCAGTAAAAGATTTTTACAGTAATCTATTGATTTGTGTTTTCGATCAGTTTTTCAAATTGTCTAACCTCATATTTCAGTAGATGTAGGCGAAGCCGCAGTGTATCCAGGTCCCCCAAAAAACGCTTGACCAGGTCTCCATCGCCCAGACGGTGAGCTCCAATGCACTTTTTCTTTTGAATTAGCCCACTAAAACTAAATAATGACACTGTCTGAGTGTGTCTGTGTATGTGTGAGAGAAGGCACAAGAAGGAGAAGAAGAAGGACAAGGATCGTGAGAAGGAGCGAGAGAGAGAGCGGAGGGAGCACAGGGACCAAAGTAGAGAGCAGAGAGAACGCTCGTCCAGCAAGAAGAAGAGCAAAGACAAAGAGCGAGAGCGTGACCGCAAGTCAGACAGCGACAAAGGCGATGTGAAGGTTTTTTTGGGGTCTGATTTTAATGTTTGGTTAATGAGTGCGGCCAACACAGCCACGTGACCTGAATGCGTTTTGTTTTCAGGTGACGCGGGATTACGATGAAGAGGAGCAAGGCTACGGCAGTGAGAAAGAAGCGGAGGAAGACGAGGAGAGGAAGAGCGATTCAGACTCCTCCTCACCCGCAGGACTCGACGAGACGGAGCGAGGCCAAAGCCACGCCCCCAAAAAGTCCAAAGTCAACGAAGATGATCACCACCAGGAAGACATGGAAATGAGCGACTAAGATTCCCATTTACAGGAAGGACATTTTTAATGTAGGCAACAACGTATCTGTGCCTGATCAATTGAAGTACAATGTGTGGTATTAACTGTAAACAGCAAGGTGTACAATGAAGGACTGTAATATATATAAACACGGTCATTGTTTTAAAAATTATTTTGTCCTTTTTGTGCTTGGTGTCAGTTTTCAATGAAATCTCCCTAAATGTCAGGATGATTTATCTTGACACAGTCGTACTCCTTTTCCCCTCACTATTCAGCGTTACCCATCACACATCCAGTTCCGTTTACACTTTCAGTCCTTAATACGTGTGCATTGAAGTATAATGCAAAGGAAAGTAATAAACCGTGTGAAAACTGTCACCGAGTGTGCGCGTGGTTTGATTTACGTCCTTCACAAAAGAACAAACCAGAGAATTAAGAGATTTGTTTTCTTTAAAAACATCTATATACAAAAATAGCAACTTCCACCATATTACAATCCAATGTGTTGGATCAAGTCAGGTGACAAAATGGGGGGGGGGGGGGGACCCCCCCCGCACAACTCTTGATTTGAACACAAGAGGACAAACACCAAAAGGAAGAAACAGTGACTCTCGAGAACATGGACAGATTGTGCAGAAGGCTTTCGTTTGTGTAAAATGAAAACCAACGAAAAGAACAATTCTTCGTTCCTCACAACAGCTACTCATTATACAAAGCTAGTTTTGGAGCATATAAAGGTGACATAAGAAACAGACTACATGGTACCATAAAAAAACTGCAGCATTTATAGCACTGCCTCGGCTTAAGAACATTTCAAAAACGCCACCCTTTAAGCTTGAGAATTGTGGTAGCACAAGGTCGAAAGAGAGGGGGGGGGGGGGGGAACCCCCCCGCACAACTCTTGATTTGAACACAAGAGGACAAACACCAAAAGGAAGAAACAGTGACTCTCGAGAACATGGACAGATTGTGCAGAAGGCTTTCGTTTGTGTAAAATGAAAACCAACGAAAAGAACAATTCTTCGTTCCTCACAACAGCTACTCATTATACAAAGCTAGTTTTGGAGCATATAAAGGTGACATAAGAAACAGACTACATGGTACCATAAAAAAACTGCAGCATTTATAGCACTGCCTCGGCTTAAGAACATTTCAAAAACGCCACCCTTTAAGCTTGAGAATTGTGCATTTAAGAAGTGAAAGCAAATAGCTCAGAAGTTACATGTGCCAAAAGATTTAGTAAATTCTAGGATTGCTAAATCAAAAAAACCTATGTACAAGTACAAGGTGTTTTCCCCTCAAATTGACATGATTCGAAATACAAATAACTGAGTCACTCAGGCTGAGGCAAACAAAATTACAGAGGCTTCATCATGAGAATTAAAAATTTGAACGGATAAAACTTTACTCTGGATTATATCATCAATTTCACAAAATTTTTCAAATGTTCAATATGTGCACCGCTTGAGACAAGTTGAATTTTTACCTCTTAGAATTAATTTTCTTGTTATGTCCTAATTTCCATTCAAGTTTGTAAATGTTTATTTACTTTCCTCGGGAATACACACTGCACTCTTATTTGAGATAGTGAGTGCCATTAGTTGCCCTGAAAAACAGCAAATGTCAAACGAACACTAACTAACCTGAAAATGAAGTTGAAAATTATACTTGGTTCATTTTTAGACACCTTGTAAAAAAACCTTACATCATCCATCCATCTTCTTAACCACCAACCCTCATTGAGCGCCGCGGGTGTGCTTGACTGAGAATTGACTACATTATTCGACTATGAAATGTCTCATCTTTGGGGCAACACCCTGTACAGTACCTTTTATTTTTAATTAGTGTGAATGCATCTGAGGAACTGCCTAACTGGTATACACATGAAAAAAAAAGTGGATTCACACATGTAGACCTGTGCGTCATACATTTGCTGCTTGGTAGGAGGCCAGAACCACAAACATTTGTCTCTTGTGAAAATCACACGCAACTCCTGTTTCCATCATTTGGCTTGCGTATTCATTGTCAAAGATCGGAAGGGTATTTAAAAAAAAAAAAAAAGGGGGGGGACTGGCGCTGTGCCGCTTTTTTGGCACACCCTGCCACAGTGTTATGGGCACGAAAAGATGGGAGCTAAATACAGTGCAATTTGGTGATTGGGTGACACAATTTGTGATTTGTTCCCCCAACCAACAAAGCTTGCTTTCCATTTGCCAGGAAGAAGATACTGTTAAATACAGTACACTTGTAAAAGGTAACGGTGTGTCCCAATGCCAAACTATCAAGTGATCCCTCCTATCCCACGTGGTGGAAACATACCTTTACATACTGTACTAGGCATTCTCCTAGCTGCTTTTTTGTTTTGTTTTGTTTTGTTTTTTGTTCAGGTGGCTGTGGAGAGACGTTCATTTTGCATTTAGCACGTAGGGACCGTAAGGTTGTCGGGGAGGAGTTGGATGTTTTTGGAGCGTGACGTTGCCTTCATAAACATCCACCCTACCGCCAGCCTGTTGAAGAGTGGGTTAAAGGTCAGGGAAGCGGCTGGGGTCTTCTTTGTACTCGCTGGGGATGGTAAAAATGGTTTCGTCAAAGCTGTCGTAGCGAAACTCCTGAAAAGTCACGGTGGCTGTGATGGTAGGAAAAACGGGGATGTCTGCAAGAAGAGAACGAACATTTGGTACTTCGATTTTGTTGAAAGACTATCGACAATCACGGACAAACTTCTCCTGTCAAATGTCTTTAATTGAATGACAGGAAGCTTTGAATAACTGAGGGACTAAGCATCGATGGAAGTGAGCTGTCGTCGGTCACTGGAATCATCGCTACCCAGGTCAGTACTGATAGTTTTTCTCAGGCCGTCATTTACAAAATCCCGTTTTTTTCTGATGACTGACGTAAACGCGCCGCATGTCTTGTGTGTTTCCGTTTGTTCGTCGGGGGCGATGAATAACAAAGACGAAAATCCGATGGTTCTAAAATAGGGTTGACGATGACGCAGGCGCGGTTAAAATAACGCAGACGGAGTGACGGACTGCCGATGACGGATGGGCGGCCTTCTTACCGAGTTTGACAGGAAAGCCAGGAGGGAGCTTCAACTGCACAAACTCCCTGAGTTTATTAAAGTGCTTAAAGGGTGCGATCACCTCCAGAACATTCAACAACCTGAAGGCAAAAACGAGAACCGTGTCAGATATCACAACTGTGCCACTCAGATACATACAGGTATACAATATCAGCCATATTTATAGCGTGCTATGTTTCATGACAGTCAAATTTACGAGTTGTATTTGCCCAAAAAAAAAACCCCACATTTCTTCACACTGGCCGAACATTGCAACGGGGGAACTTACGAGTCGATGCTCAGGGGGAAATCTTGACTCATGGCTATGGTGGCCTTGAAGTGTTTCTTGCTCTCCTTGCAGAGTTGCTCTCTGCCCAGGTGAGGAGCTCTGAGCCGAGAGGCAAAACAATACGCGAGTTAGTACGTCTAACGTTGACGACGCGGACATCCTGTCGAGTCAGGTCAAGCCGTTTTCATGAAGACTATCCGCCCAATGTCATGAGGTTTTGAAATGGACAAACGTCAAGTTTGTCTCTCCCCAAATTTCCCTGGCTGCTCAAACGTGAAAGGATCAGGAAAATAATCCGAGCGTTCATTTTCCAACCACCGATAGAATTTGCATGTGAGCTGGAGAACAATCCCAGCTGAGTGTGGCCTAAAACGCCTTAAATTGTCGGCCGTGTTTGCAAGGGACACCTACTTTCCATTGTCAGCAGTGATGTACTCTTCCCAGGATGTGGTGTTGGGTGAAGGCGGGGTTAGGGATTGTCTCCTCACAGGCTGATGAGTGCAGCGGGCGGAGAAAGACAAGAGAAACAAAAATCAAGTTCAATGTCAGACAACTGCTCCACGGTCTCACTTCATCAACGTGGTGTGATTTCACTTCATGTGAAACAGCTTTTCATGTGGCCAACATGTTCAAAATTTCGTGGTGACAAGAAAGACTGTTTGCAACCGTGAACCTGTTTTTTCTGTGTCAATTGATAACTGGTAAATAATGATGCTCTCTTTAATTAGAGTAAAAGCATACACGTGGAAAACGTAATCTGGATTCTACACGATGTGATAAGTTGCGGTTTTCTGCCATGTGTCATGCTGATCCGTAAGATGTGACTCACCTCAAAGTTTTGATCACCGAGGTTCCCTCCTTTGCTCAGACTCTCCATGATGGCTTTGTTCCTTAAGATGTCCTCCTCGCTCAGATGCTCCCGCCTCTTCCTGGACTCCAGCACCAGGCCATTCACAGAGTAGAAATCTGCCAAAAAGTTTCCGACACGCTCCTAAGACAACGAAAAATGAACTCAGTTATGGAAAAGTTTGTTTTTCTCCCCACATCTCCAGCGACAGTGTTGACAAGCCGTTACCAACCGTCTTGTCTTCTCTGAAGAGCCAGCCGGTTTGCGCTCTGGAGAACGTGATGGACTTAGTGGAGAGCGTGGCCGAGTACACGTCACTGCTCATCAGAATGTCCACTTCTTCCTCCGTCTCCATCTCAGACTCCTGCAGATTTCAATCGCAAATGTCAACACTGTTTCTTGCAATCAAGCTCAATCGATTCATTTGTGAACATGTGCCTAATGAAAGGCCCGGTGAGTTGAGCGCATCACAAACCTCATGGTGTATCCGCTGGTAGACTTTCTGCTCGTTGTCCAGCACTACAAAGGACTCCGAAGGGATGGCGTTGCCGTTGAAGATGAAACTCAGGTCACCGCGTTGACACTTCATATCCGAGAAGTCGATCAGGGTGGTGTCCAGTCTATAGGCGTGTGCGGAAGCAAAATGGGTGGAGTGAGAACGCACTAAGACAAGTCAAACAAGGAAATTACTTTGGGTCATGCTTGGATGGCTTACACAGCGAAACAGGAAGACAACTTTGTTTCAAATTTGTGCTTCATCATTACTGGAGAGTGTCTTTACTAGCATATGAGACAGCCGGGGAAAGTTTCACAAGCGACACGAAAGCAGATATTATGTAAAACGTGGAAATGTACAATCAAGATAAAGTCATCGATTTTTCCCATCAGCCCCGGATAAAAAGCCAAAGGTTGTTCATTGTACTCAGTGCAATGACAATCAAGTTTTTATTTTTAGCTCTTCTATTAAATTGATTTACATTTAGTGACATGACTTGCCTGATGTTGAGTCCCTGTTTGTAGATTTTACAGGCATCCGACGGCAGAATTCTGGAGAGCAGAGGCACTGCAATGGTGGAAGATGAAAGATGTGCAAAACAAATTGAGGAGGACATTTATCGAGAAGGCAAGATTCAATTATGAGGACAGCTGTCCTCTTTAATGGCCCAGTAGCAAATGCACCAACAACAATCTGTCACCGAAAGACGAAATGTTTTAGAACCCAAGCCATTTGCAGTAAAAGTAACTGAAAGTGAAACGTTGTTTGATGGTGTCGTACCCTCAGACGCACAAACCAGACATTTTGATGTTAGCCCTTAGAAATAGCTCCACTGCGCATTCATTTACAGATACTTTCATTGTCTGTGATAAGAGGAAATAAGGATGGAAGAGCCACGCTGACATGGAAAAGCAATGACAATAAACACTCCATCTCTTCGAACTGTGCAGTTTATGGTGTTGACTGTCTTATGGTCTTGGTTTAGTGCTAAATTGGGCGGATTTAACTCACCCCAACTTTGGAAGTCCCAGTGAAGCACCTGGTAAAAGTCTCCAAGCTGCAAAAAAGGGTGACATGCATAATTATTTGCAGTTAAACACTGAAGAAGAAGAATGGACTGTCAATTTGACATCAGTCGTCTTCTTGGGATACCGTCACCGAAAACTGATGTGTGGCATGTGAAGATGGGAAGAGGACATCACAAGAATATATACGTTTGAGCCAGAAATACCAGTGCCCTGAAGGGTCAAAATTAACTCATCCTGAATTCAAGGAGCCCTAACTTGTCCTCTGCATCGTGATGAGGAACGAAACTCAACCTAAGGACTTTTGGTTGTCTTCATCATAACGTCTAAAACAAGTTGGGCTCAAGGAGAAGCAGCATTCACCAGAATGTAAACCTGAGAGGAAATTCATTCATGGGATTGCGGTCTCATATTTGGCCATCAGCGCCGTGTCACTCGAGGTGGGGGCTGCACTATGACACATCTGACCTACGAAGCTACAAGTGGAACGACGCATCTCCTCGCACTACAACTGATGCTAACAGTGACAACACCCACTCTTAGATAATTTTTATCCAATTCCATCAAGTGATTAGAAATTGCAAAGCAGAAGGACCGTGGAGTGGATGACTTAATCAACAGCTCCACGTCATATTAAGGTACTGAAGGAGAAAAAAAAAGCACAGCAACTACAACATACCTCTTTCAGTGCATTCAACAACTTTGGCCTCTTGTCCTCGACACTCTCTCTGGACTGTTGCTTCAGCTTCCTCAGCAGTGCCGTTACTGGACAACAAAGGCGAAACATGAGCAGTTCAATTCATGAATACAGAAGCCACCTACTGTGCATCATAAACCCTGCGCCACAAATCCAAACACTGGTCTCAGTTACGGAGCGTATGAGAGATGGGAATCCTCCAGTTAGAAGGCGGCAAGTGCAAAGTCGACGATTCATCACATTCACAAGGAAGAAAAGCAGAATGGCTTCAAAAGGCTTGAGGTGCATACGCGTATAAACCAATCTTTGTGGGTTACGAACATTCAGAATCAATACAGTCAATACACATCTTTGGGCTGAGGAACACACCGATTCCTCATAGTCAACTGCAGAATTGACACAAACATGTTGACGCTGTTGCGCGCCGTCCCGCCAGGCCCACACAAAGCGAGTGCGAGCTCTCAGTGCGAGCAAGCTGGCAAGTAACTCGCGTACACACAGAGAGCAACAGGATGCGGGTGCCTTTATGGACCACATGCCTAATGAGTGTGGACAAGCCCGGCTGGGGGTCCCCCTCATCATCTGACTGCCACTCAGTGGGGGCAAGATGAGAAGCATCTGCTCACGGACGATCCAGTCGCCACATACAGTACTGTACCACTGCAGACTGCGTCAACATTCAACCAAGCTCGCTCACTTCACACCAATTCAGTGATAATGATGATACCAGGACACTTTCCTGGTATTAATTAGGAGATATTTTACCTAGATGGACTAATGAAAAGGGAGTTTACGCCACTCTGGGTGAGCTTTTCATCACGAGTTTAAGCCTCCTTGGCAGGCCTCCCAGAGCCTGACAACAGTCAATATTGACACAAGTATCATGTGCACTCACTCAATGGGGAGGCTGGATGCAACAAACAGACACACCTGAATCATGTTTTAAATATTAAGATGGATTAATGAAAAGGGAGTTTACGCCACTCTGGGTGAGCTTTTCATCATGAGTTTAAGCCTCCTTGGCAGGCCTCCCAGAGCCTGACAACAGTCAATATTGACACAGGTATCATTTGCACTCACTCAACGGGGAGGCTGGATGCAACAAACAGACACACCTGAATCATGTTTTAAATATTAAAACAGTCAAACATTCATTGCAGGGCAATAATATATGTGGATGTTAACCTACAATTAGATCCACTGAATAGCATGTCTGTCAATTCGTCATGTCTCCTTGAAAGGAAATGTCTGATTTAAAGCTACAGTTTGTGTACAAAACATGTCAATGGATATTGGCAGAAAAGTAGTTTCTTCGGAATATCCTTCCGCGCAAAACACAAAGTGGTATTTTTAAAGTATCATTCAAATGGCACCAATCTTTCGCATGTGGCTGTTTACCACACGTATGTGCTATACACCAAGAGTTTTTAAAAAGTAGGCCTCGGCCTTGGCGCTGATTTGGTGGGCTTTTTCGGTCGCCTCACACTCTCTCATCTTTCGCTGTTTCAATCTGTGAAATTAGTGTAGGTTTAAAAAAGTATTTCTTTTCTTCATTTTTGTCAAGCTGCTGAGCCTTCCCTGAATTTCCCTGGCATACGAGAGAGAAAAAGTGAAGTTCAGCAGCCAGCCTTGACGCCGAATCAATCAAGTGCCAACTAACATTACTAATTAGTGTGTCACCCAGGAGCAGAAGCATCTCCTCTAATGAGCAAACAACAACATGTCTGGGACTGCCTTAAAAGAGCTCGAGATGACAGCAGAGCAGTGTGGCGAGAAGGCAATTCAGGACACAAACTGACAAACTGCCAGAACTAAAGCTAAAAAACTAGAACGTATTTCCGAGACAATACTTTCCTTCAATTTGAGCCGGAATCCAAACAAGAAAAAATTAAATGACACATTGGGAGATTGGTGAAAACGAAAATTGGTTAAAAATAACTTTAGACAATAAATAAGAGCTTTCAAAAAATGTCTTTCTAAAAATAATTTGAGATTGTAGTTCAAAGCAGCCTGCTATGACAGTTCAGTGTGACATCGCGTTTACAAAGGATGGCAAGCCCAAACAAACATTTTTATTCCTGTGCGCACATTCCAGCTAGCCAAATATTTAACTTCCTTTCTACAGGGGGAAAAGTCATTTTCCCAGAGCACCTTTTATCATGACATGATGACAAGAAAGTGGAGGAGCGAGATTGTGACATGGCATGTTGAAAGAGCCTATTTTTTTTTTAGATAAAAGGTGTCAGGACGCTGTCCCAAAAGACGCATCATCCTTTGGGAACTCAAAAATGTAAAAAGGTGTGAAACAAGAGCACTTAGAGAGAACATCTCCGCCAAGGCCAAAAAACAATGTCTGATAGCAGCAGATAACTCCATCCTTGCTTCACTTTAGGGCTGTCATTAACAAATCTCTTAAAAATCTCACTTATCATATTGATTATTCCGTCCACACAGTTGATTTTTTTTCCTGGAAAAATATCACACAGTGAAAAGCATGCCTAAGACACTTAAGTTTGAAAAGTTGATCAGGTATATTTCCACTGCACTCACTTGAAAGTAAACATTTTTAATATTAATTTAATTATACTGTAAACCAGGGCCCGGCATCACACTCTTTTGCTGGCTTAAGTGCCCCTCGCGACCATTCATGGCTGCTCCGATGGTTCGGTGGCAGTGAACGTAAGGAGGACAGTCCAGCCATGGCTGTGTCGCTCACCTGCTCTTCATTTCTTTTTCATACGTTTCCCACAATAATTACATCACTTTACACTCCCAGTAATCACCGCTTACTGATGCGTCGATAAGAGAAGCAGGGAAAAAGTTATGCTAGGCTAAATTCACTGAAGAAGCGTCAACTAGCACTGATGGAATTAATGGAAGATGTTTTGCTCCAGTAAAGTAATGATGGGACTCACAGTGATGAGGCTTTAGCTTGTTCAATGCAAGTTTACTTTAAAAAGTACCATTACTAATAGCTAATGAGTTTTAAAAAAAGTTACTATACAACATTCAAAACATCTTTATTTATATGGCACTTTCAAATTTCATAGAATGAGCCGGCGGCTCTAGCGTCGCACATAGACTCGTACTCGAATTGCCAAGTTACCGCTGCCTCGATTTGAAAGAATTACATAAAACGTTATTTTTGTCCATTTTTTTTAAAGTGACCCCAAATCAAAGGCATCTTTTGTCCTTTTGTTATTCCTCCATGTCAACCATTTCTGACTGACCGAGTGCGTGCATCTGCAACAAAAAATTTTGAGACTTCGCCAAACTCAAATTAATTACAGGCTATTCACACTACAGCTACAAATAATGATTATATTTGTAAAAGATTAAACGGCGTATGATTTTTCCATGAATTGATGATGATTTTGACGTTAATTTGACACACAATCTGCCAAAACTGTTTATTTTTCAAAGTGTATCTCTCAATTTTGTTTAAAAAAAAAAAGTTTACAACTACTATAGACTTGATTCAAGAACCTAACTGACGGGTGGGGATTAGAGGGTGGAATTGGGGGCTTGGGATAAATCAGCCAAAGAGCAGAGAGAAAAACAACCAACCAATTTCTTTTCATCCACACCCCAAAGGCTGGAGGGCCTTGAGGAATGGCGTGCTCAAAGCAGGCCTCATTGGCAGGCAGTAGCAAAATGTGGAGGAGTACGTTCTTGGAACTGCATCTGTTGATTGCAACTGTTTTCAACTCCATTTCAAATGTGAAACACTTCAGAGGATGTCCTCATCTCACAGCACAATGTCAAACAGTCTGATACTTACTCATCTGTCTATCTCCGTAGCTAATAGCCTCTGCAAGGGGGCTCCATCCCTGAGCATTCTTCACCTTCACTGGTGCATTGTGGGCCAGCAACAGATGGGCACACTCTGTCGGAGGAAGGGAATCAATCAGCACATCAAAACAGTGTAAAACACAAGCAATTTACCCCTCCCCCCACCTGTTTATAATTGCCTAGAGGAATTGTTTGAACCGTAAGTACACTTAAATTATGATCCCAAAACGGCTGAATATCATCGAAATAGCACAAAAACCACAAATGTGTGAGTTATTCAGCAAAATTAGAAAAGGATTAGAAAGGACAGGATAAGTTATTTAATAAATATGTAAATAAGTAGGACATTGCTGTATCTATTTTAAAGTCCCTTATTTATTTATTTATTTATTTTTAACTTTTCCATTTTATAGCTATCATTTTACCTGATACAGATCTTACACAATATTTCTGGTAAAAAGCAGTGAGCCGTGAAATGCTGTTGCAGTTGTTCTCGTTTCCCATTATCAACGCAATTTATTTTCCATTCTGTTAACCTACAAAATGGGGAGATCATCACACAGGACCGCCATCCATGAATGCTGACGCATCCGACAACTGAACGCAAAAGGGAATACGACAAGGAAAGAGCAAACGCACTACAAAGAGAAAAGGTTGACAAATGCTCATAACAAGGAGTTGTCAGCTAAGGAGTACACATATTCTGCTCAGTGAGCAGAAAGAGGGGGAAAACACACACACACACACACACACACACACACACACACACACACACACACACACACATACACACACACCCGCCCAAATACCAATCCTGTTGTTCCGGCTCAGCTGCCTGTTCTGTCATGATGACGTCACTCATTAAAAGGTTGGCGGCGTCGAGACAGCTCATTGGGGGAACACTAAGCAACAAAGTGCAGTCATCTGCTAAATGCATAACAATGTTCATTTAATGAGGCTGAACTTGCACGATCGAAAAGGCTATTCCGCCACCTTTTTAAAGCACTGAGACAGATACATTGAGGCAGATAAAGTACAGCAACTCCACATTTAAAGTGCTTCTGCATCGTCGAATTAGTACAACTGTTGTTGCAAGCCACTTTCCAAAAGCAGCATTGTCCATCCCAACGATGAAACCTTTAAAAACAGGGTAACACAATGATAAGCAAGAACCACATCAACTGCCTATAAATTATAGATGAGTAAAAAGGTCGGGCGCTCATGTATTCTTTATAGTGGAGAAGGATCTCCCTTTATTTGAATATAAGACAAAACTAGTAAGCGTGCATGTCGATAAAACGCTGGTGCTAATTATGATGCATAAAAAACAGCCGCCATATTAGAAAAGGGTGTCGAATGCCGCAAATGGTCAGTCATCCGCTTTAATATGTATTTTATATGCTGGCATATGAGAAGAAGGCGACATGCTCAAACCAGCCTGTCACCTGCACCTTGCTCAACGAGGCGGTGGTCATGCAAGACTTGTCGTAAAATCATGAGTAGTTTGTTTTAGGACCATTGGCAGTAAAGCCTGATGTAATACTGCATTATTCGGACCATTAGGCGCACCGGATTATTAGGTACAATGCCAATGAATGCGTCAATTATTTTTTTTCCACATACATTTTCATCCATAAATTGCACCTGATTATTAGTGAAATATTGTATGGTAAGCAGTTTCTTCTAATTGTACCATATGTTTATCGAATATATTTAGCACTATTATGCGAGGTTCAGGCTGGGTCGGGCATGCTTTTGTTTGCTAAGCAACTGCACGCGGTTTGCCTCAGGCGGAGGAGAGGGGCACCTCGAAAATAAGTTTGAACATAGCTTGTCAATCTGGTAACCAATTTTTTTACTTGTGCATTAAAAACGATCATTTTGGCTCCGTGTTTGCAGGACAAACGAATACAAACAGGTTTTAAAATGATCTCATTAAACACCATATACACACTATAAAAACTGATTAGGTGATCATTTTCCTGTAAATCGACCCTAAATTGAATTTGAGACCCAGCTACAGGCTCCGGGAGTCTTAGTCCGCCCATCGATCCCTGAGGGTGGTCTCTCGTTAATGGAATTAGGAAGCAGTGCGGTGTTGCCAGCAGATCAGACTGCAGCTGTCATGAGGGTTTTATATCAGAAGTAAAACATCAAACAGCTGTGCCCCATGCTGCGAGAAACATCTGTATTTCAACTCAGGGATGAGGCAGCTGAAAACAGGGGTTACTGCTCATAAAACACGCGCACACTGTGACGTAACTCTCACATATCCTGAAGCTTTTCACCGACATATGCTATCCAATGTTGTGTAAAGACAACATTTAGCAGACACATATTACATAATCTGAGAGCCATTTCTCATTGCCCGAAGCTGCAGAATTGCTCGCTTTCACTGACGCAGCGTGGAGTTTTACTTGGGATTCGTATTCAGGAGTTTCAGCGCCATTCTTTGCGTATGTATAATTTCATAAGATGCCATTTGAGGCACAGATTTCAAAAAGTAATTTTTTTTATGATTAGTTTTATTAATTTACCGTAGCAGCCATTTTGGTGTTGTGAAATACTAATGTTGAGTTGCTTATCACGAAGACATTGAAATATAAAGAAACATGGATGCCATTTTTGTTTGGTGAAATTTCCTCCCTCTTAAACAGACAACAGACAACAATAGGAGCCGCTGCGGGTGCCCGCGCAGTAGCCATAAATTGTGCAAATAATATCGGAAAATTGACCGACAGTGACATTGTGCAATCAAAAGCAATTCTTCCGTATTAATTTTTGCTCGATGATACATCCCCAAAGAGCAAGTGAAGGAGGTATTTTCACAATTTTGTTTCCCTTTGCCAGATCCAACACGTATGGAATTATCAACTTAAAGTCTGTTTCCTGTCAAAGAAAGTCAGTCCGTTGAATTTACAGAGTACTGTACATGCAAATCATGGCGCATAGTCAGGATGGTACCATTTCTGCCTCAATTTGAGCCAGGAAAACACCCTGCTTATGATGGAATTTCTCCAATTTTTTTTTAAATTTCTTTTTTAGCTATGAAGATCATAGACTGTAGCCAAATGACCTCAAAGAGGATATGCTGAAACCTTACAGGACGTCTGCACTTACTGAGTGCTTTTATTCATTAATTTTTAATATACTTGTACATCCCAGGGGGTTGGAGTGGGACAGTTAATAAAGATACACAAAAGCCTGCACAGACAGACAATGTCTCTGCATCCCCAAAAGGGCAGCCACACCCCGGTGACTGTATGATGTCATGCCGTAGCCCTCCGTCTGTCTAATTTGAGGATCCCTGGAGGAAATGGCAGCAGCTCAGGCAAAAGACCGACAACCTCATTAGCACAGTCAATTCCATCGTGTCCAATCCTACTCCGCTTTTTGAATTCTGTTCAGGCTGTGGCGGAAGAGTGGAATCAATTGCATGCTGAGTTCCATTGGAAGAACAAACGTGAAGTCCAGCTCGTTGTGGAACCATGCTTGAATTGTTCCCTGAGACGATGCATTTTTCAATAATGCGTTCCACGGGTTGCTTACACAATCAGAGGGGCAGTGAATTAATATTTTAGACTCAAGCTTTCAGTCCAGCTTCAGCAAGTCAACTGAAGACAAAAATCATTTCTCATTTCAAGTTTACACTGTATGCTTGATAGATCATCACATATTAATTATGAACATCAAATTTAAATGTTATGCTGGGGGAGGAGGAAGTGACATAAACATCCGACTTGATTCAAACGTGCGCACGGAACAAATTAAGTTTGAAACTTCAAGTTCCACCGTACAAATCATTTGTAGATTTCTTTCATTTGTGAACAAAATTCATTTAATTCCCCGCATTGTCAAAAGGATGAACATCTCACTAGACAATCAGAACGCTTGACATGGATGTAAATGTAACCGGCTCACCTTTGTGTCCCAACATGACAGCCAGATGCAATGGTGTGTTTCCTGGAGAAGACAAGAAGACATAAATTGATTGCAGTGAGTAAAAACAGACTATCATAACAACGAGTGAGCAATTACGTTGTATAAATTAATGTGTTGTGCATTCCTATCCTCAAAAGATATACAGCTGTGAAAGTACTACACACTGTATTTAGCAAGGAAATTGATTGTTAAATGAGATTAGTAACTAAACACTGAAGTGCAAAGAGAAGAAATTTCTAGAAATGCATTCTTGGAAAATTGGCGCATCCCCCAAGGGAAAACCAAGCAGCGCTCACCGAGTTTCTCTTTTAGGATTAGCAGGAAAACACACATTCCAGAGTAAGTGGATTCTCTTTGGCAGAAACCCAAGTGTGGGTGACAATACAATCTGAAGAACTCCAATATAAAACAACATGCTGATAAAAGTCCAAAAGTGCTTTAGGAAACAAGTAAACACAGATCTTGCAGCAGGTGCTTTTAAGTGGAATTTTATGAATGGAATGGGAACAAACATCAAAAGGCTGATCATTGTGTCGGCATGGTGGTACTTGGCTAAAATGGCCGGAGCTTCACTGGTATTTCTTCTCCAAAGAAAACCACCACCACCAAAAGGCCTTTTTAAAAATCCTGCCATTTGTGCTATTTATTCACAGATGTACTTTCAACACCACAACACTTGTCTTCATTACGGTCACGAGTAACTGGACAAACTGAGAGGTGGAGTACACCCTGGACTGTTCGCCATTCGGTCACTGTCAAATCTTTTATTTGTGGGTTCAGTATCAGAATTGTCTTTTTTGGCCAAGTTTGTTAAAACACACGAGGACTTTGTCTCATTTATTTGTAGCCTCTTCTAGTACTATAGCAACTTCTTGGGTAGTGAGTAATTTGACAGGCTAACAGTTTGATACACACTTCTGAAATAACAAATTTGTTCAGATTACCTATATAATATTTTTTGTAGGAATGTCCAAATCCAATCACGTGATTGGAAATCGGGGCTGATCACGTGATTTTCAGCTGATTCGGTATCAGGTGAAAAAGATTGGTTGTACTACTGTATTTTCTGACCACTTAAAGGTCACAAGCTATATAATGATCCAAGTGCATGCATATCTTACAAAATACATAATAAAACAGTAATAGCTTAGGTTTATATTACGCAATGTTACTTTTTTTTTGTAGCAATGTAGTTCACGTGACACGCACACACCCACAGACATGTCTCCTTCGCTGCACAGAGCTTTCCTGCAGGCAGAGACAGAGAGGTGGGTTTGTCTTCATAGCTTGTTTGGAGGGAGAGGCAAGCCGAAAGATGCTCCAAAATAGGTGTGCCTTGCCTGATATTAAGTAGGCTCCTCGCAAAGCGGCATCGTCAAAGAGTTGAGAGAGCCGAGCGCACGACGGACAGCTTTTTTTTCTTAATGCGTTGCTGAGGCATTGGAGCGGGACTCGATATTGGCAGATACTTAAAACGAAAGACTCTGACTCAGACTCAGGTGCCAAAAGAACTAATTATCATGATTTATGTGAATCAATTTATTTTAATGAGAATGAGAGAGAGAGAGAGAGAGAGAGAGAGAGAGAGAGAGAGAGAGAGAGAGAGCGGGAGAGAGAGAGAGAGTAGTGGCCTAGCCTTCAATTAAACTTGTTCTGATTTGCCGATTTCATTGCATTGTGAGGCAAACTAGCTCATTCCAAAGGAATTCCTTGAAAAGTTCTTCACAGCAAATTCTTTATGTGAACTGTGGGTCTTGCCGGAACAGAAAAGGGCCATCCACAAATAGTTCCCACAAAGCCAGAAGCATACAAATCTCCATCTTGGTCAGACAAAGAATGTAAATTCAAGGGGGGATTAAGGCAGAGGCCAACCCTGAATTATACAATTTGAAAATATCATCTACCTCAAAGCATACTGGTTGCACTGAGAAGTAGTAGTGTTTAATAAAGGCAAAGAACCTGTGTAATATGACAGGCCTGAGAGGTTTCAGCTCCAATGCAATGGAATCTGAGCCGCAGACTCTGAGTCACACGGACGCTTGACAGTTGAACAAAACAAAAGTTGGCGCTCCAACACAACAAAGATCCACACGGCTGACCTCTGCTTGTGCTGTAGTCTGAGCTGTGATATGAGGACAGGCCACATTCCAGTAGACACAAGAACAACAAGGGTGTGTTTGGTCGGAAATCCTGTTTTTATCTGAGCAGACTTTGCCCTGCTAAATCGGTGCTGGCAGGTGGAACTTCCAAAACTCTGCGAGGTGATCACAAACTGAACACTCACAAACAAATGAGATTTGCATTTCCAGTTTGGGGGTCATTCAAAAATATTCAATTCATCTATTTTCTGTGCCCCTTATCCTCATTCTTAGGTTGAATTCATCTTTTCTAGAGTGAATATGTCACCGGTGCATAATCTTAGCTGTGCTGATAATGTTTTAAAGGGATACTTGTCAAATTAGTATTTGTGGCTTGATTGGTAGTAATTAGCCTCGCTGAACAAAAGCACCTTAACAATGAAAAGTACACTTCCTTAATGATTTATTGCACTACTCCAGCAACATTTTTGATTGAATGGAGACATCCATATTAGCCACTAATCATGAAAGTGATGTTACAAGTATGTCATCTTGCTAGTTCGCTAATCATTTTAAAGAGATATCAGCAGCAACTTATTCTTGGCATTTGTTGACCATCACGGATGTATGTTTCTAGAGAAGACCGATCAAAATGAAGACGAGGATAGGCATGAGAAGCCCACATTCACAACGACACCGCATTTACTGATTTATTTAGATTTGTAATTTTAGTCAAAAGATGGAAGTCAAGCCAGCTGGCAGTCGGCTAAACTTTGACTTAGGTCGGGCCTAAAAACATGCTATTGTGGAAACTCATCTTCATCATCTTAAATACAGTATCTCTCTCGAGGCCTATTCGGGAGTGTTGCTGCCAAACAATGAAGCCTAATCCTTTCAGGATAATTGCTGAAAGTATTTGCGTAGGCATTACCAACACTAATTGTGCGTGTATCACGCACATGTGACGTCTCGACGCAGGTGATCTGGTCACGTTAGGTAAGTATGATGCGGCACAATGCATTTTATTTATTTATTTGTTGTGGGTTTTTTTAAGTTACTAAATGTGCATGAAAAATGACCATAGTTTCAAACTCACACAAAAAAAAAAAATCAAAACAGCCCAGTATTCCTTAAGTAGTATTCTCATCTATTTACATCCATCAACCTATTAGACACTACTGAGACAAAATGAGGCTTGACGATTTTTTGCATCTTTTGATGCCTATTTCTTGACTAGAATACGTTACTTACGAACTGTAATTTCCTAATTTTGTTTTTTATTACTTAAAACGACTTCTACTCATTGTATTTTGTGAATTAGCTTTTTTTCATGTGTATTCCTAAATGAGTGTTCCATTGTAACCAGTGGTTTGCTTTACTGTATTTCTCCAAGTAGCGTTGGCTAAAAAGAAAGCTTGCCGAGACTTAAAACAGTTGAGCAAAATGTGTTTTGGGACGTTCCCCCTCATGCTGGTTGTGTCGCACAGCAATACTCACCATGCATGTCTTTCTGAGATATGTTTTGAGTCCGTATAAGAGACGACAGGCGCCGCACATCTCCTTTGAACACACATTCGTGGACCGGAAAGTCTTGTCCACTTCGGATAATGGGGTTTTTGTTGTTGTCGTCAACGACATCGGCTAATGACAGCGTACTGTTGGCATTGACATGCTGGTTCTGCTTCTGCTGTTGCTGCTGCGTGGAGGCTGACTTGACCAACTTGTGGTTGCTGAAGATTCGACTCGCCTTGCTCTTGTTATTCGTCTTGGATGTGGTAAACGTCCCGATAGCTGCCTCTTCGTCGGGTTCCAGCAAGTCATCGTCCTGACTCGGTCTGTGATCCTTCCGCAGGGATCGGATCTTCTCTCCGGTCATTTTTTAAAGCGCTGACGTGAAGGGAGCAGAGGGTGACGAGGACCCTCCGGGCCAACTGATGCAATTCGCCAGCTGGAAGTCTTCAAGCAACCAATGTGAAGAAAAGAACCTGAAAGACACTTTAATTGGGGGCTTCTCGACGAAAACAAAACGCCGCAAATTCTTTTTTTCAGTGGTTAGTGTGTAAAAAAACACAAAAACTACGAGTCGCTCGTTATCCTCCCATCGCTACTGTCAGCACAATACGAGCGCCTCTCGTTGACTTCGCTTGGTGTCTTCCGCCTTGAGTTATCGCGAGAGTTCACACCAGAGATTACAAACGGTGACAAGTCACAAAAACAAACTGCATGTATGATTTAAAATGAAATAAAACACGAGTAAATAAACAATTAAAACTGTTTTAATTAATTCTGATTTTATTTGATCCATCTATTTTCTAATTTGTTTTTGCTCACCAGGGTCGCGGGTGCGCTGGAGCCTCTCTCAGCTGTCTGAGGGCAGTAGACCGGGTACACCCTGAACTGGTTGCCAGTCAACTGCAGAGAAACAGTCATTCGCTCACAATCAACCTGCCATGCATGTTTTTGGAATGTGGGAGGAAACCGGAGTCCCCGGAGAAAACCCACGCAGGCACGGGGAGAACATGCAAACTCCACACAGAATTCCCGAGCATGTAACTATGCTGCTCTCATATAATATAATAAAAGTTATTGTCCGGGGTTAAAAAGACATGAAGTAAAAAGTACCTTTTATTTTCTCCAACAGATAGCCAATTACAGTACCTACTATTCAGGCAATTCTCTCAGGTCTTTCCAGAATATCAGGTCTCACAGGACTGGTTCTGCGGTGTCCCCTAGTGGCCTCATTTTAGTGGCATAAACTTGCATAATTTTTTTCTACTTGTCTTTTTTGAGTCGTTGTGTTTTGAATTGCCGAAGCGGTTTTTTTTCTTTATTTCGTAGTTTTTAAGGTTTACTTCCACTTTGTTGAGGTGATTGCAGCATTTCTTTCATGTATTTTTCATCTATGTGTTTATGTTTTTTGTTTGCATCATCCCTGTTTGCAGTCCTTGACCATTTGTAGCATTGTAGCATTTTTTTTCTTGCAACGTTTTTGTTTTGCAGTTATTTGGTGTGGTTTTTGGTTCGCATCTGCGTGTTTTCTGTGTGTCTTTTTGTTGTTGTTGTTTCGCTTCGTTTTTTTTTTGTGTTTACGGCATTCCTGTGTTTGTAGCTTTCCGTGGTTTGCAGTACGTCTGGCCCTGTCGGCCACTGTAACCAACACACAGAAAACAACACAATTGTTTCATCACACTGGAAAAAAAAATCTTTTACAAGTGTGATACAATGGGAAATAATAATGCTGTATCTTCATTCAAAGCGGAATTGGTAAAACGTGTATTTTTTCAAAATAAATGCAAAAGCATTTCATACTGATGTTGCAGGATGCCCGGCTGCAATTTAGCATCATTACATTAAAAATTTATATTTTGAAACGACAGGATATGTTACGGTACAGCTACGTGTTGGTCACGTGTTAAGACGCCCCTGTAGTCCACCAATCGAGGCGAGGCAGACCCGCTGTTCATAAAAGGGATTTTCCCCCTTTTCAGCGCTGCGATTGCGCTGTCATTTCCAGTTCAGGGCTTTCTGGTCGTGTCAAGTGGACAGCATATCTATGGAGAACTACAACGAGGGTGCCCGGAACGACGAGTTTCCCGGGTACGGCAAGCCTTTCAAGTCGTTCGCCACCGATGCCATCCACGTCGGCCAAGAACCAGAGCAATGGAACTCCAGGGCCGTAGTTCCACCGATATCGCTCTCAACCACGTTTAAACAGAGCCAACCCGGAAAGCACTTCGTAAGTACCGTACAGCCATATTTATATTGTGTGAATGACTTGAAGTAATAAAGAAAGTGAAAGTCCTCATTCGAAATCCTTCTTTTCTAATCAGGCAAGCGTTGATTTGGGGCTCGGGGATTGCATCAGATTAATGAGGCTTCTTGGGTCCTTGATTCCATCTGAGTAACATAAAACTATGTGTCATATTTCAGACAGTTACGAAGAAGGTGACGTGTGCGCTGCTTTCGGCGTGCTTGAATGTTTACTGTAAAAATTGGCCGAAAGTAAAGAATAAAGAAATAAGAAAAAAGAGATTTTTTCTTCAGTGGATGCATCACTGAATAATTCCAATATGTCCATATCTCTTATATGAGGTGATGAAAATACACCAGTGCATACATCAGATTACACATTTTTCCAAATCACTTCTGCTGGTTTACTGACCTTTGACATTGTTTTGATGATTCTGGTGTGCATGACCCCACAAGCGTGCCCCTGTTTTACATCGGCCACACGTGCTATAGACAAAGTCGGAAAGCCCATTATACGGCTTGTGGGATGAAGGCTGACGTCTGTGGACTGTTGGGTGTATTCAAGTGTATTTATGTATTCATAAATTCAACTGCTCTATCTACTTTGCTTCTACACACATGGTGCTGTTCACAGGAACGTTAACATGTTGTTTCCAAGGCAAACAGTAACTCGGATGACGTGATTCACAGTTGTAATATGTACACGGACGGGTGCCTCACTTTGAGATAAGACCAATTTGCACAGACGTCAGAATGTGCTGCAGTCCAGTGGTTTTCAAGCTGGAGTCCTTGGAACCTCGAGGGTCCACAAAAATAATTCCAGTAAATTATTGTGTCCTGTCATTTAGCCATGAAATGCAGATTAATACGGAAAATAAAGCAAATACAGTACTCGCCTTAGCTTTGGGCCAATTAAAAGCTCAAATATGATTATAATAAGTCCTGATGAATAAATAATTTCAATAAATTTGGCTAAGATCATTTCTATTGACACTCGTGAATATTTAAATTGAAAATTCCCCAAAACAAGTTATCCCCATGACATTTAGGGTAGACTTGTTAGTTCTTGTATGTTTTATTGGCTTTAGGCTCATGGCGATGTTCTTGGAAAATGTGTAAATTTGGAATCACCTCTGAAGTCTGTCATGAACCGATGCTAACACCCTAGTAAAGTCATAATTACAGCAAATGTTCTTTTGGAAAAACACTTCAAAGCCATAAATATAAAACAGATGAAAAATGATATGAGCATGTTTTCTTGAGTTCTATTGATGTGTCAAAAGCGTCATAAGTCAAGGACCCTTTGTACTTCTATGATGAGAAATTATTTATCCTTTTTTTTTTTTTTTTAGCAGAATTTCACAACTTCCTTTGTAATCATTACATTTGGTTAGAAGCAATAAGAATGCATTGCATAATACATTAAAAAAAAGGCCCTCACTCTATCACTCCAACACATGTTGCTTTTGACTGGCAAACAATGAGATGGTTTTGTCCCACAAAGAATGTTGTGTCTGTTTTTTATTTAGAATAGGGGCCCAACTTTGTTTCTCCAAGGCACTTCTTTCGCCATTGAAGAAGAAAATGCTTTGCAACTGTATTTTGGAAAACTAAGGCAGGAAGTAATGTGGGTTCAGAGGTATTCAAATTGAAACTGAAGGGATGCATTGCTCTGAGGTCGTTTCACTTCACTGGTGCAGGAGGATCTGCTTTATTTGACTTTGTCGTTCCGTTGCATGCATTGTTTAGAGTTTTTGTAATGCATGGTCTTTTTTTTCTTTTTTTTTAAATACAGGGCTATGAATACAGCCGCAGTGGAAACCCTACAAGAGACTGTCTTGAGAAAGCCGTGGCAGCGCTGGATGGGGCAAAGCACTGTAAGTGCAACAATGTGTACACATGTAGACTGAAGTGGAACATCCAAGGATGACCATAGTCCATTCCAGTATGCTTTTTCATAGCTTGAGATATCCATCTGTCCATTTTATATAGTGGTTGTCATCCCTCTGGTCGCGGGATGAGCTTGAGCTCAGTGTTTGGCGAGAGGCGGGACAGGACACATAGTATACAGAGATACAATTTAGCCTTTGATTAACCTAACATGTCAAATATTATCTAAAATCTGTGAATTTGAACAAAAGCATTATTCAATAAACCATGTTCAATGTACAGAGTTTTTAATTATAATAATTATGTTTTGATTTATAAGAAATCAATTAGCCTATTATTAAGATAAATGGGGAAAAAAACATTTTAACAGACCAGTTTTAGGGAAAATCCATAAACCCCATTTGAATGAAGTTGGGACGCTATGTTGGGCGAGTGGTTAGCGCGTCGACCTCACAGTGCAGAGGTCGAGGGTTCGATCCTGGCTCCGGCCTTCCTGTGTGGAGTTTGCATGTTCCCCCCTTGCCTGCGTGGGTTTTCTCCAGGTACTCCCACATTTCAAAAACATCCATGGCAGGCTGATTGAACACTCTAAATTGTCCCTAGGTGTGAGTGTGAGTGCGGATGGTTGTTTGTCTCTGTGTGCCCTCTGATTGGCTGGCAACCGGTTCAGGGTGTCCCCCGCCTACTGCCTGAAGACAGCTGGGATGGGCTCCAGCACCCCCCGTGACCCTTGTGAGGATAAAGCAGATCGGAAAATGGATGGATGAATGAATGGATGGATGTAATGATTTACAAACTATGTTCAACCTTTGTTTAATTGAATGAAATCATGTTCAAACTGCTAAAACTATTTTGTTTTTCGTAAATAATTTATAATTTTTATGGCTGCAACACAACACAACAAAGAAGCTGGGACAGAGTCATATTTACCACTGCGATTGGATAGATGGATTCTTTTTTTTAATGTTCAACACAATCTCCCAACTTCATTGGAATAGGGTTTGTAAATTAACACGTCATGTGCAATGATGATTCAAAGTTTGTGTTTTTCTCTGCCTTTAGAAAAATATATTCCAAAGGTCTGATTCAACACAAAAATGTAGCACAGCAATGGCATTTCAATGCGAGGTGCCACACTGTATTTGTATAGATATTTATGACTTGATTGACGCTCTTTTTTGTTTGTTTTTTTGTTTTTTGTTTTTTTTATTTTGCTCTAGGCCTTGCCGTGTCTTCAGGGCTTGCTGCCACCCTGACCATCACTCATATGCTGAAGGCAGGGGATGGAATCATCTGCATGGATGATGTTTATGGAGGTGATTACTCACTTAATACACACACACTCATGAGTAGATTACATTTCACGAGGTGGTGACATTCTATTCTTTGCAACTTTACAAGGCACAAACCGCTACTTCCAAAAAGTGGCTACTGAATTCGAGCTGCAGATCACCTTAGTCGATTGTACCAAACCAGAGCTACTGAAGGCGGCTCTCAAGCCCAACACTAAAGTAAGTGCAGAATACTGTTTGTTTTGGTCACCTTCCAGCAAACATTTCACATCATGTTTACACAGCTATTTGATAGGGCCTTTTTTTCTTGCGCGGGTGTATAAGTGTGTCACATAACTGTTTGTTCATTGTCTCCGTCATCACTTACTCCTTTGCTGCACTATCAGAAGGCACCGTGTTTTTCAGCATCTGCCTGACTCAACTGGGGTGTTATGTTTTTGTTGCTGCTTGTGCAGATGGTGTGGATTGAGACGCCAACCAACCCCACTATGAAAGTTGTCGACATTCGTGCTTGTTCCGACTTGGTGCACGATCACAACAAAGACATCGTGGTTGTTGTCGATAACACGTTCATGTCTGCCTACTTCCAGGTGTGACATTGAAAAGCGCAGTTGACCAAATTCAAGTTTAAAGTCAGTGTGCAAAAATGTCTCGATGTTTTGTTCATATTTTCTTTGTGTCTTCTCTCAGCGTCCTTTGGCTTTAGGAGCAGATATTTGCATGTACTCAGCCACTAAATATATGAATGGTAGGTCAGGTTTATCCACTTCTATTTTATTCATAAAAGGGCTATTTGTCATTCTGGGCCTCTCTACATAAACATCAATTATGCTTATTTAGTTTTCAGCAGTTGGCTTTTGTTTGTTTGGGTTTTTTTTTTTTTTTTTTTACTTTTTGGAGAAGGATTAGGGTTTGACGCAACATGGATTAAAGTGTTTACGTTTTATATATATGCATTTGTCCAACGAAAAGAATGTATCTCAAAAATAGACAGACTGTTACCTGGCTTCAGGTAATCATGTGTCTGGCATGGTGAAGCAGCATGAGGCTCATTATCCACGGTTGGGAAGGGAAAGGAGTATCTTTTACAGTGACCACCGTACTTATAGTCATAGCATAAATGTCATTCACCCTGCATATATAACGTCAAATATTTGCTGACACGCATGGATGTCCTTTGGGTTGAGGCACATTCTGTCGTTTGTATAATCGGCAGGTCACAGTGACGTGGTTATGGGCCTTATGTCAGTCAACCGGGAGGATCTGTACGACCGACTAAAGTTTCTACAAAATGGTGAGTGAAAAGATCATGTTGCCACTGTGGCCAAGTGCTCAAAAACCCTGCCCAACTGGTGTGCTTTTGAGTGAGACACCGAAACGCCAGTCTGTGCTCCACTATGAGGGGTTAAATACAGAGGACACATTTTGTGTACACACATGAACAAAATTATTGGCACTCCTCTGTTAATGAACGAAAAACCCACAGCGGTGACAGAAATAACTTGAATCTGGCAAACATGAAAATGTAATGAAAATTAACCAATGAAAATTGGACATGGCTTTTGAATTGTGGTTCAATAGAATTATTTTTAAAAAATTATCCAACGAGCCTGGAAAAAATGATAGTACCTCTCCGAAAAGATCCAAAACAATTTGTCCAACCAAGGTGTGCCTTTTAAGTAACATCAAAGGTGTCTTTAAACTTGTACTCAGTCTGTTGGCCCATTTAAACGGTAACAAGTATTTTCTGTGCTGTTTGCTGACATGGTGTGTACCATACTAAGCATGGACCAGCGGAAGCGATGGATAGATTTGTCTCAAGAGATTCGGAGAAGGACATTGAAGACAAGCATGTTAAAGACAAAGGCTACATGACCATCTCCAAGCAGCTTCTCATGACTATAGTTACACATACTATTCAGAAATTTAAGATCAAGGAGGAAAATCGATGACCAATTGAAGAAAGGGATAATACGAATGGTAACCAAAGATCCTTGAGCAACTTCCAAAGAAATTAAAGGTGAACTCCAAGGTCAAGTTATATCAGTGTCAGAATGCAGCATCTGCTGTCGTATGAACTAAAGCGGACTTGGGAGACGGCCAAGGAGGACACCATTGTTGAAAATAAATCATAAAAAAGTGAGAATGGAATTTGCCAAACTGCTTGTTGACAAGCTGCAAAGCTTTTGGGAGAATGTGCTATGGACAAATGAGCCTAAAATAGAACTTTCTTGCAAGGCACATCAGCTCTACATTCACGGATGCAAAATTGAAGCACAGCAAGAAAAGAACAATGTCCCAACTGTGACACATGGAGGAAGTTCCTGTTGTGTGCTGGGAAAATCTCAATATATTTACAAAGTGTTTGATTTCCTCAAAAGGTTGTGCAATAACATATTAATTTGAAGGTACGGTAGTTTTTGTCCAGGACTGTTTAATTATTTTTTTTGTCATTCTCTTGAATCATAATTTAAAAGGAATATATGCTTCTCATTGGTTAATATTCATAATTAATTTCTGTGTGTGTATAATAAAAGTTCTGTCTTCTGTTTGTAAGTACAAATTATGATGAACCTAGCAAACATCAACTTGGATACCATGATCTTGTTAAACATTTGTGGAAAAACCTTTGAAAAGCTGTCCTCGTCTACAAAGGTCAAGGTCCAAAAGTTACGATATGTCAAGATGGTGCTTGTAAAAATCAAAGTCAGTTCATGCTTTACTGTTCTATTTGATGTACTGGAGGGGTTTGAATGTGGCTGGATGGCGAGAAGACAACAGGAAACATCTGTTGGGCCTCTAACACCAAACATGTTTGAATGATGGAGGCTTTTTTGTAAATGGGTTTGTAAAAGTGTTTCCCTTCATGTGTGTTTCTTCATTTTAGCTCTAGGCTGTGTGCCATCCCCTTTTGACTGCTACCTTGTCAACCGCGGGCTGAAGACTTTGCATCTGCGCATGGAGCGCCACTTTAAGAACGCCCTGGCCGCAGCCGAGTTTCTTGAGGGTGATTCTAGAGTGGAGCGCGTCATCTACCCAGGTCGAGTGTGGTAATCATGCAGCTGACTCCGTACAGTGCATGATGACATAAGCCGGCTTTTTGGCTCAATTGGTTGTACAGTGACCAGAGGGTGTTAGGGTTGAATCTTGGCACTACTTTCCACTGTAGGAGTGTCCTTTTGCAAGATACTGAACCTTAATTTGCTCCCAATGGGCCAGGCAGCACCTTGTATAGCAGTAGCCACCCATTCGGGTACAAATGTGTGCTTAAAGGCGTGATTGGGAGTCTTTGCTGTAGATAAAGTTCTGGAAGTGTACTTTTAAGTGGCCCCTAAGTGCATTAATAACATCCATCCATCCAACATTCAATATTCTATACAGCTTGTCTTCATTTGCGGGATTTGGACCCTATCCTAATTAACCTAACATGCATGTCAGGACCAAAAAAAAAAAAACTGAATCACAAGGAGAGAATGCAAACTAACTTGTATCCATAACACTGATTGTTTTAATGCCCACCTTAACACGTTTTCATCCACAAACACAACACCACTTCCACTATGCCCGTAATGTAAATATATTTTCTGTAATGAGCCTCTGCATTTATGAAACACATTAAATGAACTGACGAGCATTAATTGAAAGTGGAATTTAATGAAATCTTTTAATTCTTATGAAAAACTTATTGACCCTCCCTATCTTCACTTAATTGACTCATAGTAAGTTATGAAGCAGTAGTAAAATGTTGCATAGAATTTAAGAGGCTTGTTAAACTAATAAGCTGTCGACACAATTAAATGAGGTCCTTAATAGCCTGGGATGCCAAGATCCTCATAGCAAATGACAGTGCACCCACACACGTGGTAATGACACCGTTGTCGACTTTACTGACAGTTTCTCCCCCCTCTGTTGTAACAGGTCTGCCCTCTCACCCGCAGTATGACGTGGTGAAAAGGCAATGCACAGGATGTCCTGGAATGATCACCTTCTACATTAAAGGAGAACTCCACCACGCCAACACCTTCCTCACCAGTCTCAAAGTAATTAGCCACAACATTTTCCTTTAGCCATTCAGGACTGTCAAACGGTAGCTATACAAACATGGAAAGAGCTTATTAGTTATGTATGCGTGTTTCTCTTGCAGCCCTTTATGATGAACAATATTTGTAGAGTTATGTTGACTTCAAACCACTGATATTTATTCTTCATTTTTTATTTAGGGTCTTTAAAACTGATCAGCGGTGATGCATTTTGCAATGGCCATATACTACTATGATGCCACCCACTGACTTCTTTTCTTTTTTCTTCAGATGTTTGTAGTGGCCGAGAGTCTTGGTGGTTATGAAAGTTTAGCAGAACATCCGTAAGTATAATTACATATTATTGATTATTGTGAAAACAGTATTTGGTCAGGGCTCGGCTCTGGCATGTTTGCGTGTTCCTGTGCTTGCTAAATTACCGTACGTGGGTGTGAATGATTGTTTGTCTGTATGTGGCCTACAACTAGCTGGTAAACAGTCCAGGGTGTCCCCGGCTCTCTACTGCGAGTGCTGTAGAAAAGGGTGGAAGCATGAAGTGTTTGAAACGGCAGAGCTGTAATGTCAGGCAAAATGCCACAAGAGGGAAGCAGAGATCAAACTAAATATGGTTTGGTGCGCTAAGAGATTTTTTTCTACTTAATGCTTGAATTTTAAGTACATCAACTTAAGTGACTTAAATTGACGTTATTTATTTTGCTATTTTTCTTCCCTTTGCTGTGCCTGCCTTTTATTCCTAGTAATTACCAAATAATCGTTTTATATACTGTGTGTACAGTACCTATTTGATTGTATTGGTCCTGAATAGTTTTTGACCCTACGGGAAGTCGGATGAACCCTCTTTTGTTGGCCACACACACACACACACACACACACACAACATGCGTTGAAGCAAGTGACTCACCCCAAACTGCCACCATCTTTTTCCAACGCAGGGCAATTATGACTCATGCGTCGGTGCCTGAGAAGGAAAGGAGCATCTTGGGCATTAGTGACACTCTGATCAGGCTCTCTGTGGGACTGGAGGATAAGGCGGATATCATTGAAGATCTGAATCAAGCACTTGCAGCCGCTGCTCCGTCTGTAAGTTTCAAAATAGCAGGTAGATACCAGCTATTTCATAAAAGCCCAATCTTAAGATCCATACCCAAAACTGAAATGTGAGGAAAAAGTATTTCGGAATAATGAATGGTTTTACCATCAGATGCTTTTCCTTTCTTTCTTTTCTGATTTCGGCCCACTAATTTGTTTTTTACTTTTAAGGCTGTGTATGCCAGAGGATAAAATACTTTGCCCTCAGAAAGGTTCATTTTGGGTATAAATTGTGAATTAAATGGAATTGTAAAAGTCACATTGTCGAGGGCTGTGAGAATGTGTTGAGACACATTCTGCAAAGTTATGCGGTGTGTTTATATGTAGGCCACACAGTACTACTGCACCGTCTTACTGTCTGATGTACTGTTTTACTGCCATTTTTTTGTCCTGACAGCAAATTAGCGTGCAGCTGGTGCCGCAGTATACATCAACAGAATTGCTCACTTTTTTTTTTTTTTTGCAGTTATGTCACATTTGCATAATTATCTGTTAGCAGGCAGAATTTGTGTCCCCCATTAAAAAAAACGTGCATATATGCCAAGAGGGATTTACTGCCTCACACAGCAGAAAAAAAGGACTGGAAGATTTGACAGGAACAAAGTGGCTTGAAAAATAAATCATTACACATTTGACATTTTTTTTTATTACCGTGTCATGCCAGGAAGAAAAACAACAACAGCAGGAACAGAATCATATGTCAAAAACAGTTCTCCATGCTTTAGATAAAGTTGTTCAATGTCAGTAAACACACACTCTCTTGGGTCCCTATAAAGTGCACAATATAAAAGAAAATAAAATTCACTTCCACATCATTGCTGACACACATTTTACATAATCTCTTAACTGCGGGAATACTACTCAATTGACCAGTTTCAATGGCCAGAGAGAGAACACCAGACTTTTAATTTCTTGATAACTGAGATCAAACATATTGTTCAGGCGTAAACCTTTCCTTGATCTGCATGTAGGTTTTCAATTTGGCTTTTGACAAAACATCGAGAAAACAGGTTTGTAAGCTTGTTTTCAACAGAATCAATATTACAACACGTGATTCCTCATGCATTCTCTGGATAGATAGATAGAGAATGGTCGAAATTGAATTGTGGAAGCAAGCTTACCGTAGTTTCCGGACTATTAAGTCGCTCCTGAGTATAAGTCGCACCAGCCATAAAATGCATAATAAAGAACAAAAAAACATACATAAGTCGCACTGGAGTATAAGTCGCATTTTGGGGGGAAATTTATTTGATAAAATCCAACACCAAGAACATACATGCCATCTTGAAAGGCAATTTAAAATTAAAATAAAATAGAAAACAACACGCTGAATAAGTGTACAACATGCTAACCTTACATGACGCATAAACATCGAACTGAGAACGTGCCTGGTATGTTCAAGTAACATATTACGAGTTATTCAGATAACTATAGCATAAAGAACATGCTAACAAGTTCACCAAACCGTCAATGTCACTCCAAATCACTAAATCCAATGGAATCTTCATCCTCTGTGTCACTTTAAAACAACTCCACCAACTCCGGGAGGTAGAAGATGCAGCGCTTCCTCTTCTACTTCTTTTACGTCACACTCTTCGTAGTTTTATCAAAACAGGTCTACAGTGGCCTCTTGTGGTTAAATGTGAAAATAACGTGTAATGATAAAATAATGTGTTAATGATTTCACCCATAAATCGCTCCAGAGTATCAGTCGCCCCCCCAGCCAAACTATGAAAAGAACTGCGCCTTATAGTCCGGAAAATACGGTATTTCATTTTCATCTCAAGTCAAAGATCCAGCGGTCCAGTTGGGGCACAGCTTCAAAAAACACAGTCATGATTAATCAGTGTAAAAGGATCCTTGTGTTTTTATTCAAGCTTGTAACTAACCTCAAATTGCGCGCTTGCACTTTTGAAACCCCCTCCCCATCCCCACTCCCCCCAAAAGGCAAATGTTATCATAAAAACTGCACTTTAAAAGTGATAATTAGGCACAAAAACTCCACTGTTGAAATAACATCTGATTTAGCATTTTGCTTTTATTCACTTGATCTACTCAAGTCATCACCACGTTTTGTCAAATTGAAGACAAATGAAGGCTCGAGCAAAAACGTTATTGTTACTTTGCTGGATGCTCTGGTCTACCCCTGTAGCCATTTCCTGCCCCATGACCATTCGTCAGAAAGATGTCTTTTTGTGCACACTAGTCATAGTTTTCTCGAGTTTCTTTTTTTTTTTTTCAGTTACTACTCAGAAAAGCCCTCAGAAAACACTTTCTGACTTTGTATTCACAAAATCCATTTGTAGATTCAAAGTCCATTTGTAGTACTCTGTATGCCTTCGTGTTGTATTTTTGCTGCAGAAAGACATCAAAGTCTTAGCAAGGCCAGCAGATGGCCCCTCAACAAGCGTCTTCCCAGAATCCTCTTCTCAGGTTCTGTGCGCACTTTTTTCTCTCTCTCTCTCTCTCTCTCTCTCTCTCTCTATTCTCTTTTCTTCTACCTCAGCTCTCTCTCTCTATTGCTCTCTCACTCTCTCTCTCTCACTCACTGTGCAGTGTTGTGCACCATTGCTGTCTGCATCACATCTGAATTACAGTGGACCCTCAAAAGTTCCAACGCAATCAATTTCCGGACAAGCGTCATCTCTTACAGGAAACAATGTAGATTAAAAATAACCTATTCCAGGGTCAAATTGTCACCACCATTAATGATTAATTATTAACTGTACAGGTAGTATTGTAAATAATTTAAGTGTTCAAATAAGTTAACCATCCATTCATTAAAAAAAAGGCCAAAATGATAAAATAAAATTTAAACGTGCCCTTTGTTAGTCATTTTGGTGAGGTCTCATGAGTTTTGCTGAGATCTCACATGATTCCCTGAAAGATTTGATCAGGGTTTCAATATGGTATGACCTGATGGGGATTCCAATTTTGATGTTCCACTGTACTCTAAATAACCATCTTCAAGCCAAACCATCCATGTAGAGATAACGTCAGCCCCCCCCCCATTAATTGCACAATGTCTTGGATGTCATTTCGCACTTGATAATAGATTTTAGCACACGGCTTTAATTGTCCTTGAGTGAGCTGATTTTGGCTCTCTTATCACCGTTTCCCACTCACTGCCACGCTGCCAGGAAGTAAAGTAGATTTCCAGAAATTGCCCTGCTGACGCTCTCATGAAGCAGACTTCAATGTCCTACTCACTATTCAAATAATATATGCTGAGTCCTCCCCGAGCACATTTGTAGCAAATGGGAATTGGATTGGCACATGTCTGCGGTAGTGTGAGAATGCACCTGTGATGAGCGAGGCATTAAATTGAACCAGATGGTGGCGCCGACTGAAGTAGTCGAGCATCCTCGTTCTACTTTTGGGTCTCAAACTTGGCTGGTGGTTTCTGATTTGGGGCGGATGCCATCCATAATATAACTGAGCGGCTGTCACTCCGGGTTCCGTCGGCGTGTGCGTGCTCTGTCTGCTACTTTAACCGTCATGACAATGTAGATTTTCCATGATGTGTGCACATTGAAAGGGCTCATTCTCATTTTTTTTTTTTTTTTGCGTGTGTGTGCGTGCACGGAAAACACATCATCTTATTAGCAGCATCTTATTAAAATGTCTGCCTGTTGCTTTGTGGATAAATATTATTAATGAGTGTTGACTTCCATCCATCTCTATTGTCTTTTTTTTTTTTTCTAGAACCCAGAGAAGAACTAGTGTCTGCAGGGCTTGTTCCTCGGGATGAAAGGGCTTAAATGTAGGTAACTGACGCATACCACCACGCGGTTGCCTAGTTGAACGCACAAATAGAAAATGTCACTTATTATTCATAACAAGATACAATAAAAAAAAAACATTTTGTGATTTCTTTTTTTCTTTTGATGCAGCTTTTACGGGAACAGGGCGAGATTATTTATCTTAGTTTACTTGTTTTTTTTTGTTTTTTTTGTGTACTCGTTTTGAAATGCTTCAAGTGAGCTAAATGAGACAAAATCTTAGGCCATCAAGATTGAAAAGTTTGATGAACACAAGATTCTTCTAAGTGCATCAACCGATGTATGTCTCATTACATAACATACCAAAACATACATTTTCTTCCGCCACTCTGAATGTATCACTGACCGCGCTCGTGCTATAACGCCAACTCCGCTAAGAGAAGTGCAAATTTCCGTCTTTCCTGTCAATCATTTGATGACAGAATCTTACTTATTATAAAAACTCGCTCATACCAAGAACAACTTTCTGGATATTCATTTTGAAACGTGTGTGTGCAAGAATGACATGTTATTCTTCATTTGACTTGATTTGTCATGAATGTTAAATGCATTTTCTCCCATTTAATAAAAGATGTGCTTGTTAGATGAATAATGTTTTTATTTTAAAAAAAAAAATCACATTTTTGAAGCGATACAGTAATAATAATTTTTATTGTAATAATACTGTTGAACAAATGTCAACATTTACAATGTGGTCAAAACACACGACAGCAGATTCGTTACATTAGCTCTACATACACCCATGAAGGGAAATATTAGCACTGGCACGACAACGTGGGTGGAGTCCTGGCTCGTCCACCCGTATTCTAATTAACTTATTAAAGCAGGAAGTAATCTGCTACCATCGCAACAACAGCAGCAGCTCTTTGCCCGATGCCAAGCCACTGTACCATCAACATGAGGATAAAACTGTGATTTTTAATGCCCACTTACATTATACACACATATATGTATATATGTGTATGTGTTTTTTTTTTTTTTTGTTTTTTTTACTGTATACAAGTTATCTTCTTACTCTTAAGACAGATAATTGCCAGTAAGAGTCATTGAAGAGACGTAAATATATTTAAACCCGTTTTCCGGAACGTAACAATCTGTATGTGACTCACTTTCTAACAGGAATCGTCCAAGACAAACACCAGGAGGGTGAATGGGAGTTCAGCAATCCTTTTCATCTCCTTGTGCTTTAGCAATTTGAATTCACTCCAGCTCATCCTGTATTGACATTCACTTGACTAAGTTACTCACTGAGTAACAAACAGGTGGATTCGAGCAGATGTTGCGTGTTCTCCCTGTGCTCTCATTGGTTTTCTCAGCACACTCTGTAAAGGCTGAGCACAATCCCGGTAACTTTTTTACATGGATGATAATGAATACACATGGTGAAAATAAACATGATTATGACACAGTGTTACATGTTGACGTACATGTACTCTTCAGGTAATAAAACTATTTAAGTATACTCTAAAATGCTTCATTGTTCAATTGTATTTCCTGACGGATTTCGGGGTGGCTTCTGTCGCAGCCATTATATACATATTATATATTATTTGCAATCCTTGAAAGTTGTCAAAGTAGTGAATTTGCTAGCCAAGTCTGATATTTCTGTAAGACAACTTAGTTCGCTGATGTTGGTGGGCCACAAGCAGCCTGATTTAGTCGAGATAAAAGTAAGTAGTCATGTTGTGGCCATGTGGGATTTTTTGGGTGTTTGTTTAAAAGAGTGTGATTCATTGCATGCATTGTCACCGATTAAAGCAGCGAAATGTGGAGCCAAAGTCTAGACTCCAAGCAAGCGCTACTTCTTGTGAGTGCCAGCTGTTGCCTAACTGAGATGGACAAAGCAGCTTCATGTGCTCTCCATCACGCATAAAGTCAGAGATGACGCTTGGATCATCCACTCTGATTGGGATAGGAGGTTGCTGCAGCTTTGGAGGCAAGCAGATGAGCCAACTTGCTGACCAGCAGCTCAAAACCGGTTTAGCGACGGTGCATGAGTTGGGATGCCACAGTATATCAATAACCAAAAGTTACATCAAAATGACAATATAAAATAAAAAATAATAATAATAATAATAAGGGTGGCCCGGTGGTCGAGTGGTTAGCGCGTCAACCTCACAGTGCAGAGGTCTTGGCTCTAGCCTTCCTGCATGGAGTTTGCATGTTCTCCCCATGCCTGCCTGGGTTTTCTCCGGGTACTCCGGTTTCCTCCCACATTCCAAAACCATGCATGGCAGGCTGATTGAACACTCTAAATTGTCCCGAGGTGTGAGTGTGAGCGCGGATGGTTATTCGTCTGCGTGTGCCCTGTGATTGGCTGGCAACCAGTTCAGGGTGTCCCCCGCCTACTGCCCGAAGACAGCTGGGATAGGCTCCAGCACCCCCCGCGACCCTTGTGAGGATAAAGCGGATCGGAAAATGGATGTACGGTGGGATGGATGATCATAAAATTTACTTGTGAGGATAAAGCGGATCCGAAAATGGATGTACGGTGGGATGGATGATAATAAAATAAAAAAAATCCTAAAGCTTTTCATTGGCGTTTGATGATGTGCCATAGAAAGTACAGTAATCCCTCGTTTATCGCGGGGGTTACGTTCCAAAAAGAACCAGTGATAGGTGAAACCCGTGAAGGAGTGAGCTTTATTTTTTACAGTTGTTAGACAATAATGAACTATGTATACAATGAAACCAAAGACCAAAACCTGTTTTCAGGCCCAAGCACAAAAAACAAACATTTTCAACCATTAACTATGATAGTTTTTGGAAATACTGGACTGTAAAATAATATTGCTTGAGCGCGTCCTCAGGCGCCTTTGCCGGTGCAAAACGTTTCGTCGACATTGAGGGGTATGTATGTACAAAGACGAGGTGCGGAGACTGTTCACGTTGGTCAGTGCCTTAGCCAATCAGGATGCAGAACGCAATTCACTGTTTAAAAGCATTAAAAAAACTGCACTTAAAAAATCCGTGAAACAGCGAAGCCGCGGAAGGTGAACCGCGTTAAAGCGAGGGATCACTGTAACCTGTATTAGTCAGTAGCACCCAGATAAGTTGGCGTCCGTGGCGGCTGCTGTAAATATCCCCAGTCTACTGGTTGTCTTGGTGAATGTGATGCGTGACCGCTGAACTCATTGTGTCTTGTTCAAATGGCACTACAGTATTTGTCTTCAGTAGACACACCGAGAAGCAACAGTAAGATGCGTATGCACTGTGGTTTTTATTATCCAGGTAAAATTACAGCGAATACACAAAGCATTCATAAAAGTCCACTTTGTCGTCGTTTGCATGCCCACCTGGCTCCAAGACCACTTCAGATTTATATAACCATTTAACAGTTTAGTGCAGGCCTATGTTTGCTCAAACTGACACAAATATCCAATAATGAACAAGATAAATACAATGTACACCATACATTATCCCGAATGTTAATGTCGTATGTATCGTCCATGTCACATGATGAAACACTTTTTTTTGCCCGTAACCATACTACGCAACTCATGATGTTATTCTGTATTGAAATTAAAACAGCTATATTAGCATTATATCTCTGCCCAGGGGCATGAAGGAGAAATATCTCATCGGATTCAGGAGCAGTGTCGAGATCTGATTTTGAGGCCCGATACTGCACTGTGAGCAATAACAATGTGATAGCTTGCAATATCGGTGTTTTGTCCCACCCACACATTGCATTTTGCAATATACAGAATTGTATTGTCAAAAATTTTGCATATGTCACAAAGAACTAAAAATGATCATGACATCTTATTACGAGTGCTTTTTTTATACATGTGACAAAAAAAAAAAAAAAAAACAGTAGCACAAAACAAAAATCATGATCTGGTTGCAGTCGTGTCTCATAACCAAACAAATGCAAAGAAGTCCACTGTTGGTGTATTTTGCAGACCTGTCAACTTGTACGTTTTCCCCGTATTTTTTTTTATAATTTCAAATCATGTACGGCGTATTACAACTTTTATACAGGGGAAAAAAAAAAACAATTGTGAACCGATCTGACAAAGACCATTTTGGCTCAAATCCAGATCATCTCACCTGCTGGTAGCCAACGGCAATGCCGTCGTCGATCGTTACTATTGTAACGGCAAACCAGCAAAAGTAATCCTCAATCGTATATTTTTTTTCATCGCTGCGTACGGTCGGATTCATAAAGCATGACGTGCGCATGCGCGGTAAGCCGTTGTACGGGTTTTTGTTGCTTTGTAAGGGGAATCGTAATCATTTATAAGGGCAGCTATTAGCTGAGGTTGACAGGTATGATTTTGCCATCTTCAAAACACCTAAAATGTGTTTGGCTGCAAGGCTTTACAACAAATGCTCATGTTGCAGATTGAAGTCACATCATGAACAAAATTGAGTCATTTCTCCTGCACTTTCTGGCAACACACCTATTTGTTTGTCTAACCAGGCTGACTCTAATGCTTTTGACAAGTATAGATGTAGCTAAACACTAATGACAGATGTGAAAGCTTTCCAACCTGAGTCTCCGTATTTCCCGGAAAAGCAAAAGAATATAATTAAACCTGTACTGAGTGTTAATAACAGCAATTTATCCACTTTTCCCTGAACAACAGTGGTTCAGAGTGCTGAGGTCGTTGAGGAAAGTCTCACACATCAAACTTTGTTGGACTGCCATTACAAATATTGTCATGCTCAGATTTTTTTTCCCCTGTGAAAAGTACATTTATAGAGGTTAAAGGTTAAACAACATAACTTGTCTGTAGTTGGAAAAACAAGTGATTGTGAAGCTAAAAGGGGATTCAGAACCATTGCGCAAACATTGGCCACAGCCAATAAAATTTGGAAGGCAATTTCTTTTTTTTGGAGTGAAATTTCATTCGGAATGTCCTGAAGAATAAATAACCCACTGGTGTTCTATGCAACAGATGACGAATGAGTATCTCAAGGAAAACAACAGCAGGTAACGACAGAGACGTGATGAGAGCCGTAAAGAAAGACCTTAAAACAAATAGCTGGCTATTTCCACAAAAAAAGAAAAAAAAAGTGACACAAAATCAACAGCGTGTTATGTTTTTGTTTAGAATTCTGTCATGTTTGCGAGGTGGTAGGTAGAGGACTCCAAAAAGCAGGGAAGCAAGGAAGAGCAGGGTGGACTGAGCAAAATGTATTCACAAAAAACACTTGCAGGGTACGCTAGAGAAACTGAATCAAAAACACAAATAATGTCCTGAAAACCACAGGAAACCAAAGTGACAAACAAAAAAAAACTATGACAGGAACACAACATGACAGGGTCACACAGACACACAATGATGCAAACAAGACTGACCGAACTCAGGGAACTAAATACAAGCAAAGTGACGAGACAATGAGAAACAGCTGGACAAGACACAAAAGGTTGACGGAGCTGATTGGTTAAACACACGGGACCCATTTGACGAGAACAGGTGGAGACAAAAAGGGCACCTGGGGGAACAAAACCAAATGCAATCTAAACAAAAACAAAACACTGTGACACAAAATCAACTGCCAAATCAGCAGAGGAGTTCATCACTGGCAATAAAGACATAGAAGACAGCCCAAGTCAATCGTAAGCCTTGCAGCACACAG